GCTCATCCGAGATAGCATCGTCTTTGGGCTGAGAAGCTGACCAGGCCTGTTGCCTTGGATTTCGGGGAATCTACAGAGCATCCTCCAGACCTCCTATTGGTTTCGAATCAGTTCCTCAAGTGGTTTTGTTCTAGATTTCTCCTCAGGCTAAGCCATCATGTGTGTGTTTGAGGGCTCCCTGTGTCACTGTCTCCTGTTCATGGGAGTCTGAATAGCACCCTTACTTCATAGGGTACAAGATTTGTACTGTTGGTCATGGACGGCTCCCGGTGACCCTTAGGGGTATTGGAAAAGCAGCATTTCTGGCCTCTGGAAGTCCGAACAAAAGTGAAGTCTGACCTTGTCATGGGGCCTCTGTGGAGGATGGAGTCCAAGCCCTGGAGTGTCCCAGAAGCTTATGATCTCACACACCGGGCTCTGGGTTCCCATGAGCCCCAGCCACAGCTTGAGGGCTCTTGGGCCAGCAAGCCGGGCGAGGCAGGCTGAGGATGCCTGTGGCCTCCATTCTTAAAAAGTCCTTCCTGTGCGCTGCAAGGTCTTTTGTTTACCATCATTTTTCTTCCCTTTTCTATGTTTAACTGTCAACACCCTGAGAATTACCAGCGTTCCCTCATAGATAAAAGGTGGTGACCTCAGAGCCAGCCATTCCTATTTCTGCAAGGGGCAGAACCAGACGAGCCTCAGAATGAGCCAGTCCCACTCTTCGGTGCCACCCACTCTGACCTGACACAGGGCTTTCCTCAGGAGCCCCAGAGGCCTCCGGCTCCCTCTGGAAAGGTGGTGGGTTCAATAAGAATCCAAGTGATGGGTGCTCTCGGTGGGTCAGTGTGAACAACGTCCAACAGCCTTCCCCAGGCCAGCCAGGGCCTCGTTTTGCTTGGGTCTGAAAGAGATTTTTGTTTTCTGGTGAGAACAGCCCCAGTCTGGCGCCAGACCCAGCAGCAGGAATACAAACCCTTTCATGTGACAGGCCCAGAGTGGAAAGATACAGCAGCAGATCCTCCCCTGCACTCCTCGGGGAGGCGGGCATTTGCATATTCCCCATTCATCCTGGCCTTGAAAAGGAGGCCCGAGGTCTCAATGCTCCCGGCCCAGCCGAGGGCCGGGCTGCTTGAGCCTGGCATTAACCCTGTGGACGCCAAGGGCCCCTGCTAGCCGAGAACAGGACTGGCTGAGAGCAGGACTGGGCAGCCGGGGGTGGCGCAGTGAGAGACAACTGCTTCGGGAGGTGGCAGGGTCCCCCCGACAGGCATAGCCTTCGGCTGAACTGAGTGAAACTCGGATTTGTTACTTTTTGTGGCATTTGGAAGAGGAGCATTGTCAAAGTATGGGGGAGCCAGGAAATTAAGCTATTTATCAAATTTTCCAGAAAATTTACCTCTAACCAAAGGCAAAACTCTCTCTTCTCTGCTCATTGTCTCTTCTGGGACAAAACCAGTGGCCCTCGGAATGGTTGGGAGGGAGTCTTGGTGGCTCATGGCTGTAGCAGCGGCCCCTTCAGCAGGGAGCTAGGGGCGCAGCTTGCCTGGGGACTTGTGCATCTTTTTTTTTTTTTTTTTAAAGATTTTATTTATTTGACAGAGAGAGACACAGTGAGAGAAGGAACACAAGCAGAGGGAGTGGGTAAGGGAGAAGCAGGCCTCCCGCCGAGCAGGGAGCCCGATGCGGGACTCGATCCCAGGACCCTGGGATCATGACCTGAGCCGAAGGCAGACACTTAACGACTGAGCCACCCAGGCGCCCTGGGACTTGTGCATCTTAAAACCCCCGGGTACTCAGAGCTGGTGGGTTCTGTTAGCTCGTGACTGTGACCCAGAAGACATGAGGCATGTATGCAGTACCACAACACTCTTCTCTCCTCTGCAGCTACGTGCTGGCCTCCCAGCCTCGGCTTCCTGCCCCTTTCCTCAATGCAACCAGACTCTGTCCTGGGAGCCTCAACATCTTAGAGCATCTCTAATCAGATGTTCGCTCTTCCTGCGACTTACCAACCCACTTCTGTCCCTCGGTTCACTTCTCAGAACACTCCTTCCCGTCTGCTCCTGATTCCCTGCTTGCTCCCCATCCCTGACTGAGGATGTGTCCCGGGTTCTGTCTCTTGTGCATTTTTTCCTGAGCAGGGTGTCAGCGAGCAAATCCCCCTCTTGCTCCCCCCACGTCTGTGATCACAACCATATCTTAGCAGGCCCCTCCTGGAGAAGGTCACGTCCTGTGCTGTGGCCACTGCAGTGAGCTCTGAGACCCAGGGAGTGGCCTCTGGTCCCTTGAGCTTGAGCCTGTTAGGTTCCCAGTATGTCCTCAGTTTGGGCTGGTGACAGAAACGGATCACGGCTCCTGAGGCCAGGACACTGGCAGTCCTAACACGGACTGAAGGAGGGGAAAGGATCATGTTGCAGTCGCAGGATTTGGCTTCCGGCACAGTGGGGCCTGGCCAGGGGGTGTCTCTCTGTTCTTGTGGTGCTCACAGCCCTCAGCAGCATCCCCGAATTCTGCCTGCTGTCCCCAGCGGGGGGGCGGGGGGGTGGCTTGGTGTGAAAGGAAGGACAATGAGGCTGAGGCTCATCCATGCCATCAGCCCTGGCTATTGCATTCTGTAAATATTTCCAAAGGGACTGCCGCCGGGGTTAGCCTCTGATGCCCCTCTTGGCGCTGAAATTCTAGTTGGGCCTGATTCGTGGTGAGGACAACACTTATCTCTGAGCTTGTGAAAGACACTGTGTTTCTCTTTGCTCCTCCGTCCTCAAGGTTATTTGTATTTTTTAAGTTCCTGAAAGTGTCGTATGAGCCTGGCTTCCCAGTGTTCCCGTCAGGAATGTGGGCCCATGTTCCCTGACCGGGGCTTTGGGTGAGTGGGCTTCTTTCGAGGTGCTGGCGTGGTGGGAGGAGGGCCCAGGAAGAGGGGGGCAGTGAAGGCCGCTTCCTGGACTGAATGGCTAAAGGGAGGCATGATCAAGGTTGAGTCGGGGCCAGTTGGTACAGGTGGCCCCGCGCAGTGGGCAGGCACGGCCTGCCGGGGGTGGGCTTTCCCACACCGGAGAGGCTTAACTAACCTTCACAGCTCTCTGCAGGCTTCTTGGGGAGGCTCGGCAGGTGAGTCGCTGTGTAACCCAGCAACCTGCGTCCCAGCCTCTCAGGGGATGTGCGGCCGGTCTCACCTGGCAGTTCCCCAGTCGGGGAGGCCCCGGGCCCCATCCCTGCACCAATCATCTGTGGCACTGTGACTAATTAAAACCCAAGAGGAAGATGGAAAGAAAGCCTCTCGCGCGCTGCGCCCGGTAGAGCCGAGCGTGAATATCTGTGAGCACGGGGTGGATAGCAGGCCAAGGGTGGGCTGCTGTGTTTGCGTGTCTGCCTGGGAGGGTCACACAGGTGTGGTGGTGCACACATCTGTGCTTTTCTTAGCCGAGCGCCTGGGCCACACCCTTCCTGGGCCAGAACTGCTGCCGAGCCTCCGTGTCCCCCGCACCTGTGTGGTTTTTCATCAGCCAGGACCTGGGTTGTGGCCACTGAATTTCCTGCTCCCAAAGCTGCCCCGAGAAGCACTAAAGGAAGATTTTGTCTTATGTTAAAACATCTCTGAAGATGTCTAGATAAAAGGAAGGGTCCTGCCAAGAAGGAAGAGGTAGGAGCTTTGTGAGCAGGAGGTGGGCCGTCAGGCATTTGTGTATTTTACAGCTTCCTCGGGGTGGATTGGAGGAGGCTATGGCCTGGGGGCCCAGAGAGGCCCCTGCCAAATTCCCAGAGAGGGCAGCCGAGGCAGGAAGCTCCCCTCCTGGCCTGCCCTGGGGTGGCGGGCTGAGCAGTGGAGGCTGCCTCAGCCCTCAGTTGCGTGGCCTGTGGGCTCCAGACTCACTAGGCTGGCTGTGCGCACAACCCCTGAAGAGGGAGCTCAGAGCCCTGGACTGTGGCGTGGGACAGCCCTGCTGCTGAGGAGGTAGGCCGCATTTGGGTAGACAGTGGCCCCACTTTGGCAGACTTGGAAGCACCAGGTGTGGGTAGGGCCCGGAGGGTGGCCAGCAAACTACTATGGCCTGGATTTGTGTTTTACTCTTCAGCAGCGTGACCATCTTCCTGCTGTGTGCTGTGTGTCCTTACTGACGTAGGAGTAAGAAATGGCCATACCAGAGCCCCACCCCCACCCCTTAACCTAGAGAGACAGACCTTGCAGGAGTGAGGCCCTGGGAGTCCCTGGGACCTCTGGTCCCAGTCTGTCTGCCAGAGGTGCTGAGAGAGTTCAGAGCTCAGCTTTGGTTCCACCGGGCCAGGGTGTGGGTTCTGGCTTGGGGATGACAGTATCTCTAAGGGCAGGCATTAAGGAAGGGCTGATGTGCTGGCCTGGGGTCTTGCAGAGTAGACAAGCCAGTATCTTCTACCTGCTGGCCCGGATCCTTATTCTGGAGCGTCCAGAGCATCTCTAATCAGATGTTTTATCTGGGACTGTGCCCAGTTTCCTTCCTTGCCCCAAGTAGGCAGGTTGTGACCTTTTGGGGTGGAGGGGAATAGAGGCAGCCCCTGAGACCCTGAGAGGGGCTGGAGGTGGAGTCTCCTGGGCCCCCAGATGCCTCACTTAGTCAGAGATCTGGCATCCCCACCCCCACGCCCCCCGACTTTCTACCACTTCCGCCACTCACGCGGCCGGCAGGTCCCCAGCCCCTGGCTGAGGCTCTGGTCCCTAATCAGTGTCACAGATGGAGGTGTAAAGAGGCTTTGTCCTTAAGTGACCCATTTGGCAAACTCCGTCCAGAACTGAAGACAGAGTGGGGGCGGGGGGGAGAAGCCGCGGGTGGAGCTCCGGCAACCCGGCAGAGCGGGGGTTAAGGCGGGTTGCTCGGCTCCAAGCTGATCTGAGCCAGGGCTGCCCAGTGTGCAGATGGAGGCGGGGGCTGGCAGCTCCTCATAGAGCGGCTCTGTGCTCAGGTCCCTGCCAGACCTGCCCCCACGGCCGCCAGGGAGCCACTGCCACCGCTGTTAACGCCGCCGCCAGCGCCCGGCTTCCCAGAGCGGGCGGCCGTTGCCATCCGTTGTCCCCAGGAGGGCAGACTCGGGGCAGGGCCTTCGCCACTTTTGTGCTTTGCTCAAGATGTGGTAAGCTCTCTCCCTGAGCCCCACACACCCCTTATAAAGGGAGGCTGGTACTGGTGGGACCAGTTCAGCCGCCTCCCCAGTGCCAGGAGCCCTCTGGAAAGGTAGGGTGTGAGTGCATGTCCTTTTGCAAGTTCCCTCTGTGCCCTTCTGGCTGGCCAAGAGATGGACTAACTGCTTTCGCTAACCACTGTCTACCGAGTGTTTCACTTCCTCTGTGATCGGCACCACATTCTCTGTCCATGACCTTCTTTGAGAAGAGGCCCACAGGAGTCAGGTGACTTGTCCAAGGTCATAACTGCTATCAAGAGTGTGAGTCAAGGTTTGGACCAGGTCAGTGCAGCACCAGAACCCGCCTTGGGACCCTTTCCCTGGCCCGTTTGCCGGAGATCCCGGTCCCTGGGAGAGGTTGTGATTTTCTTTTTGAAGCTTTTAACTGGGAGTTGAGGATGTTTTTTAATGATCTGGTGGCTTGCCCTGCGCTTGCCTACCATTTCTGAACTCCTCAGAGGTTTTCAGGGACTCAGAACCCCACTGCAAGAGCCCCCACCCCACTCCAGGCTGATACAGAGGGAACCTGGGTGATTCTAAAGGAAGGGAAGAATCTGAGGGTCAGGGAGTCCTTCAGCACCAGCATGATGAGTTGGACTTTTGTCCTAAGGTAGTAGGGAGCCAGAGAAGGTTTTTGAGTAGTAGCACGACATGGTCATGTCTGTGTATCAGGAAAATAACCTTGGTGTCAGTGTAAGCACCAGTCAGAGCAGGGACGCCTGTGAGGAGGCTGCTGTGTGAGCCTGGACTGCGCTTGGTGGTGGCTGGACCAGGCCAGGAGCTGTGGGGGTGAAGAGGGGCAGCCACCTTTGAGGGGTATTTAGGAGGTGGCCCTGACAGAGCCATCTAGCTAGGTTGCAAAGGTCTAGAGTGCTGGCATTGGGAGGCTGGTCAGCAGAGGATCCTTAGAGCCAAGCCATGGGACTCAGGGCCGTCTCCACAGGGACTGTGCCCTGGGCTCTGCCTCTGCCATTCGGCTGCTGTGGCACCAGCAGGCTCCCCACCAGGGTCTCTTTCCTCCCATTGTCTCCTTTCCTGCGCTTGGACAGCTCTGCTTTTCACCACCTATCTTCCAGGGCCCTGATCAGTGGAGGCCCTAGTATGGTGTGGGGAGTCCCAGGCCCCTTGCCACCAGCTGGTATCCTGAACTCTTCCGTGGCAGAGGAGAAAAAGGCATAGGATATGCTGGAGGAGGGGAGACCGGTTTGCGCTGAGGGTGGGGTCCTCCCTCCTGGTGAATATTTACAAACACAGCAGCTCACTTGGCAACAGGGCCCCACTGATTCCCTTGGGTACTGCCCACCCCCCCATCCCTGTCCCATGCTACTGTCACCAGGAGAGCCTCCTGGGGCACGGGAGGAGGCAGCTATTGCTGGCATCCCAGGGACCTCCGAGTCCTACCCTGGTCCAACAGAGAGGGAGTGAAGGTCAGAGTAGGCTGAGGCCCTGTGAAGGAGTGACTCCCAGGCCTAGGCTCTACCCTGCCCCCATGCCAAGGGTTTGGTGGCATTGGTTGACTCTCAGGCCCGTGTCCTCACAAGACCTGAATCTGCAGCTCTGCCCTGCAGTGGCTCCCAGGTCTGAAGGGACTCTCGGGGTGGATGCAGGCGGTGGCCCTGACGGTGTGTGAGAAGCTTGGCGAGCCTGGAAGCATGACACGGTGCACCACCGATTGCCCCGGGTGCTGCCCACCAGGCAGGGGTGCGGGCCCGACCTGAGGAGGAGGGAGGAGGCAGACCCTTTCTCCACCACCTTCCGTTGCCCCAGGCAAGTGGGCTTCCTAGAGAGAAGGACCCAGCCAGGAGAAGTTGGTGAGAGGGAGGGTGCCCACCCCTAGTGTGTGCACGGTGGAGATCCAGCCACGGGCCTGACTAGCTGCTGCCACTTCACGGACTCTGGTGGCCTCGTGCTACCTCCCACCCCTGCAGTCTGGGCCTGGGCTCTTCTGAGCAGGGCTGGAGCCGGTTATCTATGGGCTCAGCAGCCCCGGACGTAGAGGTGTGGGTATGGACGGTCCAGTGCCGGCAGGGGTGGGTGGCCGTCCCACACGAGGTAGGGGTTGGGGAGGCTGTAGTCTGGGGCCTGGATCCCGGCCCCCCCCTTGCTCCCTGTGTACCAGTAGACGGCAGCTACCTTCTTGGGCGGCGTCTGTGCGCTCCCACCTTAGGCAAGGGCTTCCCAGACACCAGCAAGTCAGGAAGTTTAGGCAAGTTCTGTTCTTCCCTCTCCTGGGGACTGTGCTACTTTGGTGACTGGTGACAGAGGCCACCTCTCAGACTTGTGGCAGTGACACATTTGTACATTTCCTGAGTGGAATATTCAGCTGGCTAAGTGCTCCCCGCTCTCTCTCAGCTCCAGCCTTGTATGTTGGCTTCCCTGTGCTCAGGACACCCTTTCCTCTTTGTCCTTCTGTCTCAGCACCAGTACGACTCCCTGCCAGAAGCCAGTGCTGACTCCCCATACTGAGCCGGGCACCTTCTCTGGCTCCCCATGCCTGATCACGACCCAGACCGTGCTGCATGGCCCTGCATCCCCTCCCAAGCCAGAGGGGAGCGGGGAACCGTGTGAGGGTTTGCTCCATGATTGAGGGTTGGGTGGGTGGATGGATGACTTGGCCATTCTGGGCTGTGCTCTGTGAAAACCCCAGCATTGCAGCAAGGGCTGCAGATGCCCACGTTCTGCTGCAGCTTCGCATCCAGGAGCAACTGCCAAGGGCTGGTGTACTGTTGGTAGGGAGCTACCTTTCCAGGGTTCTCTCTGACATTTTTGGGACCACGTGGCTGAGCTCTTGGGCTCGTCCGAGGCTTCTCAGCCCATTGACCCAGCTCAGCCCATTAGAGGAAATGTCCGGGAGCTCGGAGCCCACCCCAAGAGCTGAGGAGCGTATCTGGATTTTCTATATGTAGACTAAGTCACTTATCTGATAGGCATGGCTGTGACTCAGTCTCCCCATCTGCTGCTTAGGGAAGTAAATGTCCCAAGGAAGCTGGCTGATCCCCTGCCCAGAGTCTTCCCCAGAGTGGTTTTCCTTGGTGAATTCACTGGGGTCCGTAGCTGGGCCTCTTCTCAGCTGGTGCAGTACCTTCATGTGATCGATATGCCCGGAGTGATTTGTTCCTGTGGGGTAGCCTGCAAACTGATCTAGCTCAAGGAGGCTGCCAGGAAAACTGGGTTTCCAGCTCAGGAACTCCGTGAGAATGACCAGGCTGGCTTGGGGCCTTACTTTCTCTGCACCCCAGGCAGCACCCAGAGTCTGTGGGTGGTTCACAAGTGTTCCCAGGACTCAGAAGGCCTGTTGTGCCATGCACAGAGCATCGGCTCCTGGGGCCTAGCCACCTCTGCCCGGTGCTTGGACCTGCCTGGACTGAGCATTCTAAAGATGGGCAAGGGGAGGTCCACAGAGGTGGGTTATGTGAAACCTCGTACGGCTTATAAGTGAAGGAGAAGGGATTTGAAGCAAGATTTGCCTGCTTTCTCGGCGATGACCTGGCACATCACTGACCTCATCTCTGGTGTGGTAATGTTACAGTTTAGTACAAATATTGTCAGGATTTCAGCAGATCTCTCAGGGGTCAGGCAATTGCTGCTTGGCTCATATCCTGTGGCGGTAGAATGGCTGCTGTTGGGTTTCTCGTTGTTTCCCAAGAAGCGAAACCACAGCCATGCTTCCAGAGGTAGACGGCCAGTAAGGAGAGCGGCTGTGGATGGTGAAGTGGTGCCTGGAGCCCACCCAGCCCTCGTTCTGCTGGCAGACCCGTAGGTGTTGTGTGGCGTTTCTAGCCTCGGATCTGCCTGGGCAGTGACTCCGAGGAGGCCCTAGCAGGGATAAAAGCATCCCATGCCTGGTCCATCCTTGCTCCCTCTCTCAGTCCTGGGCGAAATGCAGACCCCTGAGCCCAGCTGGCCATGTCTGCCCTGCCAACACGGTTCACTTAGCCATCAGGAGGACGTGGTAGCTCCTGGGACCTGTTCTCTTTGAACCAAAGTTAGTCACTAGTGCTTCCCACAGAAACGCTTCTGCTGCCCACCCCAAGGCATCCTCTCTGTCCCCTGGTAGGCTTACTGTGTCCCCTCGGGCTGGGGTGGGCAAGCCTGGCACCCTGCCCGCCATAGGCGGTATCACGAGAAATGCACTTTGCTGAGCCCTTTTTCTCTGGGCCTTGGTTCCTTTCCCTTGCCACCAGTTTAACACGTGCTCCCTGGGCCACTTCCGTTTGCTCTGGACATTAGTGGATGAGATGTCCAGTTAAGGGGCCCAGTTAATGGTGGGGCCACCTGTACCTCTTGGTGCTTGGTCAGGGACAGTGCACAGTGGTCAGTGGTCTGGGGCCAGGGAGCGGGGCCTTGACCCCGCCCCGGCTGCTCTTGGTAACGCTACTCTTCCTCAGAAGGTTGGCCCCAGCATCACCTCTGGCCCCGGCAAGACTTCGGCTCCAACTTTCCTTCAAGGAGGGCCTGGGGTGGATCAGGATGTGGACCTGGGTGAACCCTGCTGTGTCACTCACTGGACCCTTGCCAGATAGATCGATGACCTTATGTCATGAGGGCCAGGGGTGTCTGTCAGGATGGGTCTGTGGGCTCTGCTCCCCTTGCCTTCTGTCTCCCTCAGGCTCAGGGCCTGGGGCTGGGAGCTTTGGAATGGGGTGGGAGGAGCCTGCATCACCCCACTCATTCTGGCCACTGTGCTCTTCTTACTCCAGGAGCAAAGAGAAGCACAACGGTATGACCACACGGGAGAGGTGGTGCACCCAGACCCTGGGGCTCAGGAGGCTTTACTCCGGAGCTGTCAGACCATGCGCTGGCCTCTGGAAGATACGGAAGCCTCTGTCAGTCATGGCCCAGGGCCAGCGCGTATGGTTCTCAGGAGAACTGGGCTGGATGTCTGACTCTCAGGGGTGACTCCTCAGGGTTCCGGCCTGTCACTAGAAAGGCCTTTCTAGGAAGCCAGCTTCTGGGATGTGCTGTGTTGCACCAGGCGACTGTGTACCCCAGCTAGCCCAGGGCCCGCCATACAGTGTATTTGGCCAGGGCCTGGCCAAGGTCACTGTGTCGCTTGTGATCCAAGACAGTTGGAAGGACAGACCTGAGACTCCTCCCTGGCCTGCCATCAGCTTTCCTCTCTCACCCACCTCTTGTTTCCTGCAGAGTTCATTCTCTCGCTTCTGGAGAAGATGCAGACCCAGGAGATCCTGAGGTTGCTGCGGCTGCCTGAGCTGGGTGACTTGGGCCAGTTTTTCCGCAGCCTCTCAGCCACCACCCTCGTGAGTGTGGGTGCACTGGCCGCCATCCTCGCCTACTGGTTCACTCACCGGCCAAAGGCCTTACAACCACCATGCAACCTCCTGATGCAGTCAGAGGAAGTGGAGGTGAGCAGAGTGTCATAGCTGGCGGCAAGGAGTGGGCAGAGGCGTCTTGAAGGCAGAAGGCAAACTTGCAGCTGATTTGACCCAAAATGGTGCAGAGAATCTCGTTTTCCCCTGGCAGTGAGCCAGTACGCCTCCCCGGGGCCTTGAACAGGGTCTTCTACACGATGCTTCTCTGCCTTTCCCAGGAACTGATCCATGGCCTTGCACCGGATCTCTAGTTTGTCTGCTTCTTGGGTGGGAAGCCTTGGCTTGCCAGTGCTTCAGTAGAAAGCCTGAGGTTCTCAAGGGGCCGCCAGGTAATTTTGCTCTTGGTCTCCCTGTGCCCAGCGCTGGTCTGGAGCTGGAACTCAAGAGCTGAGCCCACCTCGTGGCCCTGTCTTCCCAGAGCACATGGACTCATGGGAGGGCCACCAAGGGGGGCAGGGGCAGTGGCCCAGCCTGGACAAGGGTATTCCAGGCTCACTCTAAAAGGACTAGTGAGATTTCTTTCTTTCTTAAGCTTGTGAAATTTATTTTGTCTTTTAAAAAATTGTCTTTTTCTTAAACTTTATTCATTTTGAATAGATAACATATTCACACTTCCAAAGAGAAAAAGGTCGCAGACTGAAAAGCTTCTACCTTCTTCCCCTTGCCTGCGAGTTCTCCCTAGAGAACTGTCCATGAGCGAATGGATAGTTATCCTCCCCTCTTTTTTTTCGTTTAAGACTTTATTTATTTATTTTAGAAAGAGAGAGTGAGAGGAGGGGGAGGGGCAGACAGAGAGGGAGAGAGAATCTTGAGCAGACTGTGCTGAGCACGGAGCCTGGGGGCAGGGGGGCTTTACCTCACAACCACGAGATTACAGCCTGAGCCCAAATCAAGAGTCAGATGCTTAACCCCCTGAGCCACCCAGGCGCCCCTGCCCCTCTTTTTAAATGCTATCCTGCTGCATACACAGTTCAGCGTCTTGCTTTTTTGCTCTTGAGGGTGCATTCGGCAATCATGAGCATGGCAGAATTTTGTGTGGTAGGAGAAGATGCAGGTCTAGATAGGACAGGGATCTTCAGGGCACTTTTCCTGCAGAAGGCATGATGTGTGCAGAGGTGTGGGTATGTGTTCTTGCACTTGGTGGCCTTGGGAAATAGTGATTCACATGGGGTAGCTGGATGGTGGAGAGGGGTACCCCTGGACTAGCAGAGTGGTGACCAGAATGGCCTTTGGTGACTGGCAGCCCTGAAGGACTGGCCACGCCTCTTACTAGCTATATGGTCCTTGGCAGTTTCTTAATTCTCTGAGCCTCAGTGTCCTCAACTGCCAAGTGGGTAATAAAAAGAGTGCCCACTTCCTAAGGTTGTGGTAAGGATTTGGTAAGATGACACAGAGAAAGTAATAGACTGTTTTGGTAAGCTTATAATTACAACTCGCTTGGAGAGGCCAGTAAGGACAAAGCCCCACGGGCCAGGACCCTGGAGGTGGGCAGCATGGATTTACTTTGGGTTTTTAGTAGTAAAGAGACGCGGGGCCAATTTGTGCTGTAGAAGGATTGAGCGGCCTGGGCAGGAGTGTTCCTGGACAGGTACCTTCGGCCAGTACACAAACTAATTCACACTATTATGTGAATGATGGATGGCACCCAAATGATTCTTAACCTAGGGGCGCAGCAGCAGCAGATGATGATGAGGGCCGTCCCGATGCCAGAGGGTAGCCGGACGCCGGCCAGCACTCCCCATTCCATTGTACGAGTGAGCATAGCTGTATATGAATTGTGACTGGAATTCTGGACATTTTGTGGGTGCCGTGTGTACGTTTGGGAGACCAGTGTGCTGGGCCTGTGTGCGTGAGCCAACTGTGTTTGAGTGCGGGGCCACACAGGTCAAGTGTAGAGGTCATGTGTGTACCGTCCGGGTGTTCTGTCTAGGCCCTATGTGTGAATGCATACATGCAGAGCACGTCACAGTCCCACCTATGTGGCCCTGGTCTGTGTCCACGCCCCGTACCGCCTGGTGTGTCCTGGTGCCCTCTCCTGATGCCTCTGCCTGCCTCAGCCAGCTTCCCTGGCCTGTGCTTGGCTCGTAGGACAGTGGCGGGGCCCGGCGATCTGTGATCGGCGACGGCCCTCAGTTGCTCACCCACTACTACGATGATGCCAGGACCATGTACCAGGTGTTCCGCCGTGGGCTCAGCATCTCAGGTAAGAGGGGGCGTGGGGGTATACAGGAGCTGTGGCAGGGAGTAAGCAGGTGCAAAGGTGGGGAGGGGCAACCCAGGGGCCAGGGGCCTGGGCGGGGAGTGGTACCCAGGTTCAGAGGGAAAAAGCCACTGTTGGCCCTTCTCCCACCCAGTCAGAGAAGTAGCTGCAGTGTGTGACCGAAGGGCTGACCTCAGCTTTGTTCTAGCACTTAGAACTGCCTGACCTTAAGCTGGCTCTTAGCCCGTACTTTATATCTCCCACAGGCAGCCCTGATAAGCCTCCTAATGCCAGGCCACTGGCTGGCATGGTTCAGAACCTGGGCCTCTGAGATGTCTGGGTGGGCCAGGGTAGGGGGCAAAAGGAAGTGGTCCACAGAGGCGACTTTCTACCTCTGCCCCACGGCCAGGTCTCTGTGTCCTCCTGGGGCTGCATCACACAGGTCATGGTGGGAACTGGCGCTGTGTCATTCCCTGTTCCTGGGCCTCCCTGATCCCTGAGGTCACATCATGCTTGTGTACTTTAGGCCTTCTTGGGCTTCTGCAAGTTAGACAGGGAGCTAAAGGGCAGTTCACCTGACTCCTGGACCAACTACCCCATGGCCTGGGATGTCCATTCAAGTGTCTGATGAGCAGGTGCGGGTGACAGTCCACACTACCATCCTCCCTGGCACAAGGCCTGTTTATCTCCCTGCAGGGAATGGACCCTGTCTTGGCTTCAGGAAGCCGAAGCAACCTTATCAGTGGCTGTCCTACCAGGAGGTGAGTGACAGAGGACAGTCCCCACCCTGTCAACCCATGTAGACCTGGCATCGGGGGGGCTCGTGGGTACCCTGCAAGGTGTCAGAGGGTCATTGTTTCCTTGCTTGGCCTTTCAGACTCCTGGCAGCTACCTCACAGAGTTTCCAGCTGACCTGGGTAGGGACTGGGGAAGGTCTCAGACCTGTAGGAATCTCCACCTGGGGATCTCCCTCCCCTGCTGAAAGTCCTTGCTTTCCATTACTTCCCCATGTCTGTGTGCAGGTGGCTGACAGAGCTGAATTTCTAGGGTCTGGACTTCTCCAACACAATTGTAAACCAAGTACAGATCAGTTTATTGGCGTTTTTGCACAAAATCGGCCAGAGGTAAGCATCTGCCTTCAATGGTTTTAGAGGTATCGGTGGCGTAGGAGCTTGGGTATCATACACAGCCCCGATCCTACTGTTTGTAGGGCCTGGGACAAGAGGAAAAATGAATATACTTGGTCCATGCCACCCCCCAGTCCCTTGGCTTTGCCCCTAATCAGGAGTGGACATCCCAGCCAAGCTCCATCCACGACAGCCAGCCCCACAGACCGCTGTTCCCTGAGCCATGCGGGAAGAAGGACCCAGGGAAGAAGGCCGTGCAAGCCCTTTAAGCAGGCTTGGGACTGTTTTGGAGTCTCAGAATTCCCTGGGGCATGCATGATCTAGAAGGCTGTGGGTAAGCAGGCACAACGGGTTAGCTTTGTGGATGCCTTGCCGCATGGAGAGGGCCAGAGCAGACCCTTCTCAGTAGGACCCAGAACAAGTCCCCTGGTTGCCTGGGCATAAGAACCGTATAGCCCTCCTGCCTGCTCTGTGCTCCCCCAACCCCAGACCTGTGTTGTCTCCGCAGTGGATCATCGCGGAGCTTGCCTGCTACACGTATTCTATGGTGGTGGTCCCGCTCTATGACACCCTGGGCTCTGGGGCTATCCGCTACATCATCAGGACAGGTGAGCCAACCGCATCCCCCTCTTGCTACTGGCAGCCAGCCCTCCAGATCCCCGCCTCTCAGATGATACCGATTGACACTAAAAAGCACTTTGCCTCCATGCTCGAAGAACATTCTCCACTTTGGCCCTTGAGTTGGCTTTCCCCAGTTAGACTTCACCTAAAGGCACCTTCCACAGGGCCTGGCTATCATGAAGGAGCCTCTGCACCAGCCCCCACACAGACTTCCAGCTCCCCGAGGCTTAGTCCAGCTTGGGGCAGATGCCCAAGGGCAGGGGCGAGGGTGCCAAATAGCTCCAGCAGACCTGAGATTATGGAGCCTGAGCCTGGAGCAAAGGAATGCTTAGAAGCCGCTCTAGGAGGTTCCCTGGCCTTTTGTCCTTGGCTTCTCCAGAGCTCCCTGCGTTTTCCTCTCCATACAACACATGGCCTGCGTGGCCTGTCTTAGTGCATTTATTTACACCCAAGCTCGGGCACACGCAGCCCATGGTTCTGCTGCCTGGCGCGTGTACCCACGGTCACAGCCTGTGCTCACACAGCCTGACTTTCCCTTCAGCCGACATCAGCACCGTGGTCGTGGACAAACCTCAGAAGGCCGTGCTTCTGCTGGAACATGTGGAAAGGAAGGAGACTCCAGGGCTCAAGCTCATCATCATCATGGAACCGTTCGAGGAAGCTCTGAAAGACAGAGGGCAGGAGTGCGGGGTGGTCATTAAGTCCATGCAGGCTGTGGAGGTGAGGCTCTGCTCCTGGGCTGTGTCCTGGGCCACAGCTCGTTGGCCCCTGAGCCAGAGCCGCTGTTATCTGCCCCTCTCATGCCCTGGGCTGGATGTCTTAGGTCATCAGGATATGTCAGGGTTGAAACAGGGCAGGCTTCGCAAGGGCTGGCGGTGGGTAGGGGGGTCGGTGCCCACAGGCCTCCCCTAGGCGACAGGCTCCGTTGGCTGGCACAGTTATTGACAGAGGCACCGACAGGTGGGTGGTGGTACCAGCCTGCCCCAGAGTTACTCACGTAGCCTCTGGGGCTGCCTTTTCTCCAGCCTGTCTGAACCTGAGGACTAGACACAGGAGGTCCGGGAGTCTTTGAGGGGTTCTTTCAATGTGTCTGAGACTCCCAGCAGCCAGCAGAACCAGTTGTTCTGTGTGTGACCTTCCCGGAGCTGTTGCTTTGGTGGCAGCTTATGGCCTGCTGGAGTGACACAGGCCGTCCTGGCCTCCAGGGCCTCACGCCCTGCTCAGTAGCAGCTCACCCCCACCGTTCCTTCCTGGACGTAGGCTCCTGGGCTCTCCCCTTGCCCTCCTGCGTGCCTGCCTGGTCTGAACTAGTAATGCTCGTGCACGTGGCTTTTGGGGCCACATTTACACTGGCAACCCCCATCTGCCCCTCCCGCCCTGACCCTTTATCTGGAAGTCCTGGCCACCTAGCCCCTCCGTCCTGAACGTTTGTCCGGATGGGCACCTTGAGCTGTCTCCCGCACTGCGCATGCGCACAGTGCCTCGCCTTCCCCGGGCCTCAGGCCCCTTGTCTGTAATGTGTGCGGTGGCCCAGGCCTGGATGTGTATTTGAGGAGAGGCCGCTCCTGTGGTTTCTCCACATGGGCTGCGTCTGGATGGGGAATCCTGAACTTTAGACTCCACACAAGAGCAAGACATACTAGGCTGAGTTTGTTTTGATTTTTTGTTTCTTCACTTGTTTTGATTGATAAGAACTTTTGAGCATTTAAAAATAGTATTTTTCTCTTCCAGGAGTGTGGCCAACAGAATCATCAGGCTCCTGTGGTAAGCTCATCTGCCAGTAGGTCTTTATTGAGCAAGATGCTGTGCAGGTCTGACCCTCACAGACCCCTGCCAGGGGCTTGATAGGAGGTCAGAGCCGCCCCCCTGTGCTGATAAGCAGCTACTGTGAGCAGCTTGGGAAATGCCCGCTCAGGGCACCAGGACTTGTGTGCGTGAGGGTCTAGAGAGCGACCTGAACCAGGAGTCAGGTGTTGAGGAGGGAGGAAAAAAGGGCAGCCAATCCTGGCCACTCTTGGTTCTCCAGGAACCTTTTCTTTGGGACGGCCTATGTTTTTCTTTGACGGTAGTGAACTCTAAGGACAGGGTGAGCAGAAGCTGTCTTTGTTCATCTTTGTGATTTTTTCTGCGTGTCACCCCCAAGTGGTGCTGCCTGGGGTTGCGTCACCAGTGACGGTCACTGGCCCTGGGAGGGCCCTGTGGGGGTTTAAGCTTGCTTACACGGCCTCTCCCTGCAGCCCTCCCTCCAGCTCAGCCCTGCCCCCTCTTCTTGCCGGCCCCTGAGCGTTCTCATACATGGGCTGGCCCTTCATGGGTGGCTCTGGGAGGTGCCCACCTCCCGCACCCAATGCGCCAGCCTTAGAGCACTGTTCTCCGACCCCCTGGCATGCCCTTGCCTCTTGTTCTTCTCCCAGAGCCCACCCTCTGTTCGTCTGGAGAGGTCTGGCTTGTCCCTCAGTCTGAACTCGTTGTCACCTCCTCTGTGTACGAGCAGACGTGTTCGGCTTTTCCCGGTGACCCCAGGACTCTGTGCCCCGTGTCAGGGGCAAGGGCCTGATGCAGAACAGTCTTGGTGACACTGTGGGAAGCTCAGTTCCTGGGCCACACATTCTGCTCCCAAGCCTAACCCCAGACATTTGGGAGAAAGTGGGAAGGAAGGATGGCACTGGATCACATCCACGAGGGCTAGATGTGGCCACTGCAGCCCAATCCCATCTAGAACTGAACTCAGATTCAAGTTAGGGAGGCCCCAGACGCAGGTGAGAGGTTAGTGGGACAGATGGATGTCCAAGCCCCCATTAGGTTTCCTTAGCCTTTCTTCCCCTTTCCTAGGGACGTGCCAGCCTGCCTTTCTGGCTGCAGCACGCAGGGCATGCGCACGGCCCCACATGTGGCAGGTGGGGGTGCACAGAAGGGCCAGCTGGTAGAGGGGCCTGGGGGTATTGGGCCCTGGCTGGCCACACCGGGTCCCTTAACTCACACCTCTTCTCAACTCTGCAGCCCCCGAAGCCCAGCGACCTCTCCATTGTGTGTTTCACAAGCGGCACAACAGGTGAGCAGAGGTGCCCAGATCACCAGCCAGGGCCACCTGCAAGCTTCCCTGGCGGCCTTGGTGCAGCGGATGCAGGGGGCTCTGGTGCCCTGCGCGGCATGGGCTGAGCCTTGTCCTGTGCCTGGCTCCAGACGATGGGCCCCTCCTGCCGCTCCCAGTGCCCAGCAGGAGGCAGCCCAGGTGGCTGGACGTGGATGGACAGTGTGGCCTGGGAGGTACAGGGTGGGGGCTCGCCATTCCCTGGCACCGGGGCCAGAGGAGGGCCGGGTAGCTGAGTCATGTCATCCCTCCCTGAGAAGCAGCTCGCACCTCTCTGCTTCCTGCCTCTGCGTGGCCTTTGTGTCGGGGATGGGGGAAGAGGTATGGGGTTTGGTGTCTGAGAGCCTCGATTTGAGTCCCACTTCCACCACTTGCTGGGGTGTCTGAGAGCCTCGATTTGAGTCCCACTTCCACCACGAGCCAGTCACGTAAACTTGCCGCCACCACTCTGCCCAGCTTCTCACCTGGGATGGGAGCTGTTTAAAGTGCCAAAGAGGAGAGGGGACGGAGTGTGAAAAGGCGGTGCAAAGGCTCTGTGGGATGGGGCTGGTGTGCTGTGGGGACGAGGACAAGCAGAAGTGACGCTCCCCATGCCTGGTGCCGACAGAGAAATGCACACAGCAGCTTTAGCAGGGGCAGCCAAGGCAGGCTGTCTGGGGGCGGGGGTCAGGACACACACGAGGAGCATGGTCACGGGCACAGCACGTCACAGTCTGCAGTGCCCTGTTGACCCAGTCACTGAGCTGCTGGGGCCCCAGCACGGCCTGTGAGGCCAGCAGGTGTGGGGGCTGGCCAGGTGGACACCACCAGCAAGTGGAGGCAGAGGACTTGGGCCCTGCTCCCGCGACCCCCAGCCCAGCGCTCGTCCCCTTTGCTGCTCCATCTCATCTATGGACTTCGGAAGTCACTTGTCTTTTCCCTGAATGGGCAAGGAGTTTCCAGCCTTCTTTTTCCAGATTGAGAACTGGCCTGCCTTGATGATAGCTCTTGATGGGCTAGGCAGTGAATCCGGGGCTTCCGACGCTTTCCATAGATGTAACCTCTAAGTCTGACCAGCCCCATAAGCAGGACTCTCCATGAGGATGGATCACGATAAACGTGGCTTCGTTGGATCGAGATGAATTTTTGCCATTAACTCAATGGGTTTGAGGGTTTCTACCACATTGCTAATTTTTGTCAGAGAAGAAAGAATATAGCATTTGCTCTCCAGGAGCTGACATCTAGATTCAACCCACAATTCAAAAATGCCCTTCAGGTTTATATTGTTCTTTGTCATGAGTTTCATGACATAAACTTTTGGTGACCTGTCTCTCCAGCCTGGGCTGGGGAGCACGTTACTACTGTGGCCTTTAGCTTTAGACCCTTGCCCTTTGAGCGTGCCCCTAAGCTTTTCCTGAGTCACTTGATGTTGCCCCCGTTTCTGGAAAAGAACGTCACAGTGCAGAAATGGGCTGTCACCCGGTTGGAGAGGACAGGCCTCACGTCTAGTGCTTTTCCAGGCCACGAAGTCAGAACTGGAAGCTAAGCTGTCCTGCCCAGGCTCTGTGTGGTGGCAGTGGGATGTACGGAGCCTGGCCAACACGTCGCGATTTAGTGCCCAAGCCTCCCACTCTAGAGCTGTTGCTGGTGCCAGGGGCAGAGCTGGACAATTGAGCACACCTCTCATCACCCTGCCTGGCTGTGCTTGGATTTCCTTGGCCTTCGCCTGAGCCTGCTGTGCCCCTGGTAGCCAACCTGTTGTCGACCACATCAGCAATGCGTGTCCTCAGCCTCACAGCCCCGGCCGGACCCAGCGACCCAGCGGCCCAGCTTCCCTTCCACAGTAAGCGTCCTGGCTCGCAGCTTCACCAAGAGCCACACTGTTCTCCTGGTGGGGAAAGATGGGAAAGATGGAAAATATGATCTAAACCTGACATTTGTTTCTGATTCTGGTGGAATCATTCTGGGAAGATTTTCTTCTTGGTATACGACAGAAACATCTGTGGAAATTCCTAGAGTAAGCCAGTACCTTGGAGCCCGTAGTCAGGCCAAGAAGGCCCTGGAGGAGGTGAGAGCTTGGGATTCGTCTGTGCTCAGGGATGGCTCCTGGCTGGGTATGTGGGTTGGTTGTTCATAGTTCATAAAATGACTATTAGCTGGACTAGAATCCGACACCCCCTCTCCTCCAGAAAAGATAATTTGTGGGTGTAACATAGTCCAGTTTGGGAAATTGGGCCCCATGAATGATAATTAAGACGTATCCTATGAGGACATGCACCCCCTCTTCCCAGAGAAGAAAATATAGTGGTCTTTTAAAACATACCCTTTTTTTTTTTTAATAATTTTTTTTAAAGATTTTATTTATTCATTTGACAGAGGGAGAGAGACAGCGAGAGAGGGAACACAAGCAGGAGGCATGGGAGAGGGAGAAGCAGGCTTCCCACAGAGCAGGGAGCCCGATGCAGGGAGCCCAGGACCTCGGGATCATGACCTGAGCCGAAGGCAGTCGCTTAACCGACTGAGCCACCCAGGCGCCCCTAAAACATATCCTTCTTTTTTTTTTTTTAAGATTTATTTATTCATTTGAGAGAGCGAGAATGAGAGAGAGTACATGAGAGGGGGGAGTGTCAGAGGGAGAAGCAGGCTCCTCGCTGAGCAGGGAGCCCGATGCAGGACTCGATCCCGGGACTCCAGGATCATGACCTGAGCCGAAGGCAGTTGCTTAACCAACTGAGCCACCCAGGCGCCCCTAAAACATATCCTTCTTAATCGATATGTTTTTAGCATTCTTTTTCTACTTTATGTAGATTGACTCATTCAGCTCATTTATGGAGCATCCCCTATGCATCAGACCTAGTGCTGGGGGCTAAGGTCACAGGGATGGGTAAGCCAGAGCCCTGTTTTCATGAACTCACAGCTCATGTCACCTAGCAGTTTGGTACTATGTGGTCACCGCCTCGAGGGTCCGCATCCCAACGTGCCTGGAGCACTACGCCACCGAGAGGTGGGAAGAGCAGGACAGAAAGGATTCCCAGAGGAAGTCCATCTGAGCGGAGTCCTGAAAGATCGGTAGCTGGGGGAGAATAGGAGGAAGGGCATTCTCAACAGGGGGAACAGTGTGTGCGGAGGATGGGCTGCAAGAAGGAAAATGTTGCTTTGAGGGAGAGTTGAGTGAGGGAATAGCAGTGTGGGGACAGGGCCTGGAAGCCCTGGCCGGAGAGGAGTGACGGGGGCCGGAGTTTCAAATGGAGGCTGAGCAGGTGCGGCCGGAGATGCTAGAGGAGAATAGAATCTGTCAGTGTTGTCTGGTGGCTGAGCCGCACCTGCAGGACGCTGCCGCCGCCGAAACACTGGCTGGTGCTCCTGACAAAGGCTAGTCGTGGAGTGGAGGCTGGACGCAGAAGCCGACTGCGGTGGAATGAGGAGTGAATGGGAGGTGAGGATGTCACTTCAACAGGTGGACAGTTCCTTCACGAAGCTTGGCCCTGTCACCAAAAGGCCTGCTCCAGAATGTTCATGACCTTGCGGTGTGGATAGTCAGAATCTGGAGACAACTCCAGTGCCCATCGGCGGTGGAATGGTATACCTCAATAGAACATTCTACCTCACTGTATGTTGAGTGAAAGAAACCAGGCACAAAAGATTGGGTGGTTTCTTTGATCCAAAGTTACACACATCATCAACTAGTCTACGGTTTTAGAAGTCAGGCTAACGGTTGCCTTCCAGGATAATGGTGCCCTGGATTATTGATGATGCTCTGTCTTGACCTGGTACTGGTTGCACAGGTAAGTTCACTTAAAAAAAACAAATCTCTTGAGCCTTATACTCACTTGGGCACTTTACTATATGTATGTTGTGCTGTAAGAGAGAGTTTATGTAAAAAAAAAAAAATAGATCAGCTCTGAGGAACGGCAGAGCAAGAGTAGAGCTGGCAGAGACCTGGAGGGGGTGGGGCTCTTGTTATCTTCCTGGAAATCCCTGCAAGTGTTTCTTGGCATCGAGTAAGAGCCACTAGAGATGGAGGAAAGGGAGGTGCTGCTCAGTGGAGCCGAGCCCCCAAAGCTTTGGTTTGGACTGGGGGAGAGAGGGGGCTTCCAGGTGCCGCCAGGAAAGAGACGTGCCCTGCCTGGAGAAGGGAGGAAGACTGGGTAGAAGCATCTCTTCTGTTCTAATTGAGGACACCCAGGGAAGCTCAGTCATGTGCAGTCCTTTAGCTGAGCATGAAGATGGCCATCAGCCTTACGTCTGTGGCTGCTCAGAGATGGGAGCTCGGGAAAATACTCTCCTTGACCTATTTGTTTTATACCGTTCAGTTCAAGACTTATGTGACCATATGCATGAAACTACACCTCAGTACTCCTGTGCAGCTGTAGAAGAATTTCTTAACCTCTCTTAAGCCCCAGTTCCTTGGATATTAAATTAAGCCATCCGTGGGGCTCCTGGGTGGCTCAATCAGTTAAGCATCTACCTTCAGCTCAGGTCATGATCCCAGGGTCCTGGGATTGAGCCCGAGTGGGACTCCCAGGGGAGCCTGCTTCTCCCTCTCCCTCCCCCTGCTCATTCTCTCTCTCTCTCAAATGAAAAAAAAAAAATCTTAAAAAAAAAATGAGGCCATCTGATATCTGCAGCATAGATTGTTTTAAGAAACAACTGAGTTACCATGTATGAGATGCCCACCCAGCACACTGCCCACATTGGTGGGTATTCAGTAACTGGCTGCTATTAGAGTTATTACTTGTATTCCTACCAGCTCTCAAGTCTGATTGTTTAAAAAAAAAAAAAAGAATGGTGGGCATGTGATTGATGAAAGTAAGGCTCAATCCTAAATAAGATGTGGGAGCCTCAAGCAGGGAGATGGATACTCTGCATTATAAAACTTCCCAAGCATTTCTGTCACCAGCCTCTTCTATAACCCACCTTTGTGTGAAAGTGGAAACAAGCAGCCAGAGGAACTTCCAGCCAGAGGGCCCAGCGCTGCTCCCAAGCCCACTCCCACCCAGCCCTGTAGGAGAGACCTTGGGCTCAGCTTCACCCCATGACTGCCCTCCCTTGGAGCCAGTGTCCATCCAGGGCAGACCTTCAGCCAGTGAAAGGCCTTTCTGCACGTCAGCCGTGGATTTCCAGCCAGGAATACTGGCTAAAGCCCAAATGACATTTGCAGAATCTGCAATGAAGAGTTTTTTCCTTCAGCAGCTGGAGAGAAGAATAAAAGGGAGGATGGCCAGCCTGTGAGTAGAAGGTGGGAAAGGGACAGTAGGTCTCATGCTGCTGAGATGTCGGGGCCTGGACAGCAGCACCTCTCCTGATGATGCACCAGAAAAGGAGAGAGCTGGTTCTTTAACTTTGCCGGAGGTCTAGTGAAGAATGCGTACCTGTTCTTCTACGTGAGTAACTTGGAAATTTTCCCATATCACATTGAAGGAAATGCTGCCAGAAGCATGCACTATTCCTGAATCAGAGAAGCAAGCAGAACTTTCCAAAGGCTCACCTCCCACTTCCCACCTCCCAGCTCGGACCTTGCATCCCATCGCAGGATTTGTTGTCAACATGTGCTTCTTCTTCATCCTTGAACACATCGAGGCATGACTTGAGGACATCATTTGAACATTTCTGGGAATATTTAAAAATTCTATAACCCATTAGAAGTTTATAAAACCTTACTCATACCCTGCAAGAAAGCTGGAGGAGGAGGAGAAACACCAGAGCGAGAGAGGAGAGCCAGACCACCCGGCCGGCAGCCAGCCCTAGCTGGGGAGGGCAGAAGTGGCAGCAAAGTGGTCAGATTTGCACTGTGGACGGACACCTGCAGGCCTGAATTCAGACTGTCGGTGACTTACGACACCCATGAAACTGACCTGACAGTGTGACCAGAAAAGGCATGAGGTGCCTCTGTTTTCATCCAGGGGCAGAAAAGGAACTGCCCCCCACCCACTGAGCAACTTTAAAGGCATAGACAGAGCCAAAAGTTTGTTTCTAAAAGGTGCAAACTTTTCTCATCGTGTTGGAGAGGAAAAAGTTTTGTCTAAGCAGAACTGAGTAAATGCTACCATTGTGTGTGTTGTGGACTGAACTGAATGGAGGATTCAGACAGTTTTCATGAATGAAGACAACTTTCTCTCTCTTGAGATTCACAGCCATCCACCTTGAAGTTGCATTAGGCATGAGCAAGTCAGCCAGCCTAGCAGATCTAAAGCTCTGTAGCATTGGGCGGTATTTTGTGCAAGTTCTGATTTCATACCTAGTATTTTGGGGGTATTCCTTAGAGACTTCCAGAACTTGGGGATCCACAGGTGAAAATTTCCAGGTGATACTCTCAGAATGGTCTGTGGACCCAGAGATTCTGTGGGATTTGTACATAGGAGGCAATTCAGGGCTTAGGTTTGAGGAAAGACGCTGGGATGAAAGAAGGCCCGGCAGAGGTAAAAACAGATCCCATATATCTTCATTTAAAAAAAAAAAAAAAGAAAGATATTTGAACAGCTACCTATCAAAACCCTGTAACCTTCTGCGTCCCCCAAGTCCCCTCAGTGATTTGCAGTATGGGTGCGTGTGCCAGACTTGTTAAAACCCCGCCCACCACACATCTTGGTCAGACCGAGACGGGGCCATTCCTGACGCTCTGGTGTCTGCCAGTAAGTTGAGCACACAGGCCACATGGGATAGAATTATGAGAGCAGCTTGACTTTTGGCTCCGTCTGTGCCTTCAAAGTCAGTGCGGGGTAGTTCTCTTTCTGCCCCTGGATGAAAACAGAGGCACCTCATGCCTTTTCTGGTCACACCGTCAGGTCAGTTTCATGGGTGTCGTAAGTCACCGACAGTCTAAACTCAGGCCTGCAGGTGTCCATCCACAGTGCGAACTGACCACTTTGCCGCCACTTCTGCCCTCCCCAGCTAGGGCTGGCTGCCGGCCGGGTGGTCTGGCTCTCCTCTCTCGCTCTGGTGTTTCTCCTCCTCCTCCAGCTTGCTAATGAAGCTTTGGGCCCTCTCCCACCAAGTGGAAGTGGGGAGGGAGAAAAAGGAAGTGGGAAAGGGAAGTCAAGAGATGGTTTGGGGCAGACCTTTAAAACCTGCTCCTTGTGTCGTGGCCACTTCTGGGAGTTGTCTCGATCGCAGGCAGTGTTCTCTTTGCTGGCTGCTCCCTTTTCCACTGCACTTCTGCCTGTGACGCACACGACTGCTTCTCCCTGAGTCAGGGGGAAACTGGCCAGTGGACAAGACTCCTTTTTAACCCACCATTCCCACCACCACCCCCTCAGACTGCTGTTCTTTCTGCAAACTCCCCATCCAGTCCCTGGGATTTATTATTTGTTTGCAGACACACTTTTCACATTTCTCACCAGGACCCTCAACTGCAGGGAACGTGATCGAGCTCCGAGTTAGCGTGGGTTTTGGGTTGGGAAAGAGGACCCCCCTATTCCTCCCACTTTGATGGGCTATAGAACTGTGTAGCTCTCTCCGAAGAAATTCTTCTCACAAATCCATTCCTCCCCTCCTCCTCCTCTTCTTCCTCTCCTCCCCTTCCCCCTCCTCCTCCTTCTTCCTCTTCTTTTTCTCCTTCTTCTTCCCCTTCTCCTCCTTGTCCTTCTTTTTCTCCCCCTCCTCCCGCTCCTCCTCCCCCTTCTTTTTCCCCTTCTTCTTCTTCTTCTTCCCCTTCTATTTCTTTCCTTTCTTTCTTTCTTTCTTTCTTTCTTTCTTTCTTTCTTTCTTTCTTTCTTTCTTTCTCCTCCTCCTCCTCCTCCTCCTCCTCCTTCTTCTTCTTCTCCTCCTCCTCCTCCTCCTTCTTCTTCATCTCCTTTTTCTTCTTCTTCTCCTTCTTCTTCTTCTTCTTCTCCTTCTTCTTCTTCTTCTTCACCTCCTCCTCCTTCTCCTCCCTCTTCTTCTCCTCCTCCTCTTTCCTCCTCCTCCTCTTCTTCTTCTTCTTCTTCTCCTCCTCCTCCTCCCTCTTCTTCTCCTCCTCCTCCTTCCTCCTCCTCCTCCTCCTCTTCTTCTTCTCCTCCTCCTCTCCGCCCCCCCGACTGAAGTAGAGTTCACATAGCATAAAACTAAACATTTTAATGTGAGCAATGTGGTGGCATATACTACAATACTCTCTTTATCTCAGGTCACTTAGTCTTTTTATTACCTCTTTCTAGGTGAGGGTTGCAAAGTTAACATATTGGTTTGTTTAATATTTACTGGGTAAATTCTACTCATGGTCTGGCCCTTCACTTTTGGAGTTTCACAGTTGTATCTGCTGCCTTATTGGAAACTTCTAATTTAACATCTTTTGACCATGGATTATATCCTTAGACCTTCTGAAAGCCCTGTGAGGTGGGCGTTGTCCCTGTTTTACAGGTAAGCAAACAGAGAGGAGAAATGGCTTCCCTGTGTTCTGCTCGCAATGACGGGCAAGGCCAGGAGTCGAGAGGCCAGTTAGATGTGTGTCCTATCCACTCTGACGTGAAATGGTGACCAGCTGGTCTCCCTCCCCAGCCTACTGGGCCCTGGGCCCCCACCTAGCCTCTGTGTTCTGAGCCATTCTAGCAGACCTGGGTTTCACTACAAGCAATCCTGAAAGGTCTTATCGAGACAAAGTGAGAATATCCTTCTCGAGTCCTATCTCTGCTGGTGAACAGGCAGGAGGGGCTGCCCCCTCGCTCGGCTCCTCTAGCCTGGCTTGAGCCTGGGGCCTTTCCAGGTGCTGCATGCAGCAAGGAAGTCCTCTGCCAGCATAAATGGTTGCTGGACTCTGGAGACGAGACCTGCTTGGCCCAGAGAGCAGCACAGGGTACGGGGTGTATGTGAGGAGCCTGGAGGCTGAGAGCCTGTGCTCCCCGGGTAGGCAGGAGAGGGGAAGGCACAGGTCCCAAGTAGCCAGCCTGTCAGGCCTTGAGGCACCCTGCCCGTGGGACTGTGTCGCCTGCCTTGCCGTCCCAAGCTGCTGGGAGACTCGGGGGGAAAATCTCCAGCACAGCTCGGACTCGGAAGTGTCTGGGACTGTCAACTTGGGCGCTCTTCTCAAGCAGTGACCCTTGAGCTTCCAACTAATCTGCCTTTTTGCTTTCTCTTTTCAGGGAGCCCAAAAGGCGCGATGCTCACCCATGGGAACGTGGTGGCTGATTTCTCAGGCTTTCTGAAAGTGACAGAGGTGAATAAAGTAGACTCACTAAACAGGTGTCTCTTGAGGACACCCTGGAGCCTCAGAGGTTTTTTTGTTTGTTTTCTGTTTTTTCCCCCTGATGTAATCTGAGCTGCCTTTCCCAGGCAGGAGTTTCTTTTGACATTAGAGCAATCCGACTTCTACAGACACTTTAACCCCCAAGCCCTGAAATGATCCATACCTGATAAATAACCAGTTTGATTTCTAAGAGTGCTAAGATCCCAGAAAGAGAAACATGTAAACCTGCGTTTCATTTTTAACTGCAAAAATTGAGATATCTGTGGTTTCCTGTCTACCTTTATTTAGAAAGTAATCCTTAATAACTTGTTTTTCCCATAGGTCAGGGTTTAATTCAGTCATTTTGTGTTTAAGGACTACTAGAGTCTGAGAAACAATGGCAACTGCTAATTTGTAAGACTGTACTTAAAAAGGTAAATCTAAAGTAAAAAAAAAAAAAAAAGCTTGATATCTTGGCCTGACAAAAGCATGTTAGCATTTTATAACCAACTAAGAAAGAAGGACGTTTTTCCACAAGTGGTGAGTATCCATATGTCCTGCAAGTTTCCTTAAGGAGAAAGGAATGTTCCTTTTCACATAAGTTAGGCTTTTTCTCCACTGTGGAGAAAAATCACTCTTCTACATTCATGCCAGATGGCATTATGGAGCACATGCCCCCCAGACCCTGATAGATTTTTGGTAGAAGGCGGTGAGAGGCTGTTGGTGGCTGAACCCACGTCGGGAGCCATAAGCCAGGTTCCCAGGGCTTGTCCAGACTCATTCAAAAGCCAGCCCTGGAGAATGAAGGCCCTGTGAAAGGGTGGGGGGCAGGGGAGTCCAGCAAAGAAGAGCTCCCGAGGGCCCAGCCCGCCCCTGAGCGCAGGCCTTGTGCAGGCCCCCCCCAATCCTTGAGGTCAGTTCCCTGTGTGTGTCGTGGGCTGGGGTGCACAGCAGGGCTCCCTCTCAGCCTCCCCCATGGGTTCTGTCCACAGGCCATGGCTTTCGAGGCCTGGTTCAGCCATCTGTTTGCCTGGGGCTTCTACCCTAGCCACAGTTGGTGCAGACCTAGGGCTCCCCAGGTCCCTGTTCCGGAAGAAGGACTAGAAAGGGCCAACAAGTCTAGCCCCTTGGACTCCCTGCCCAGGTGGGCCAGGGAGATGGCGAAGGGGGCCTGGCCCCGGAGGAGACTTCCCTGCGGAGCTCGACTCTGCTGGTTTATGTGTGCTTCACTGGGCTTTTTGCTTCTGCAGATAACCTAGACCCACTGGCTGCGCCCTAACACTCAGCTTCCTGCGCTGCCCTGTCTCTCTCTCCCTCTGTCCTTCCTGCGCCTTTCACCTTTCTCTCTCTCTCTCTCTCTCTCTCACACTGTTTCTCTCTCTCATCTGGCCTCTCTCTTTGTCCCCCCTCCATTCCCCCCCCCATTTCCCTTCCCCCTCCCTGTTTGCCCCTCCAGGACCATTTTCTCTGTATTGTTTTATGACTCTCTCGTCGTCTTCCTGTCAGTGTTTCTTTCCTTTCTGTCTCCCATGCCCGTCACCTGCAGAAAGTGATCTTTCCGAGACAGGACGATGTGCTCATCTCCTTCCTGCCTCTGGCTCACATGTTTGAGAGAGTAATCCAGGTAAGACGCCCACCTGACTGACCGGGCCTTGCCTGGGCTCCTTCTGTTTTCTTACAGAGTCAGTGGGCTCCCACTTGTGCGGATGTGCACATTGCCTATTTGCCTTTAGCACACATGTTTGAGCGAATGGTGCAGGTAAGGCCCTGGCTCCGGGAGGCACAGTTTGTGCCCAGAACCCAGAACCCTAGCAGAGTGTCACTTTGTCACTGGTGCTAGGAGGTAGAACTAAACTGCCCTGTCCTCGCAAGGTACCACAGGGGTCAGGGGACCTTGGCTGCCCAACCTGTCCCTCCTGGGAAGACTCCAGGGATGACCCTAGGCCTGCCTTGTCTTACCTGTGGAGATACCTCAGCCGAGAGAGGCCCCAGCTGGCGGCCCGTGCTCAGAGAGGATCACGGCTTTGCAGACGTGTTTTACATTCACAGTCTGTGCACTATGGCTCTGCTTATGGCCACAACACTTACATACCAGAACTTCCAGAACTCATGAACTCCCGGAAAGGAAAACAAGACAGTAAAGTTGGGGAATCAAACTGCCATGACCCCTCGCTCCAGAGATAGGACCGGCATTATGATCAGCCCTGAGACCGGCCTTGGGGGGGTGCAGAGGGAGCGGGGGGAGTCCACGTAAGGCTGTGGGAACAAAGAATTTTCCAGGCACGTGTCACTCAGGGAACCAGCTTGTGAATAAGCTGTGTTTTTTTTTTAATTTATTTATTTGAGAGAGAGAGCGAGAGAGCACAAGCAGGGGGAGCAGCAGAGGGAGAGGGAGAAGCAGGCTGCCCTCTGAGTAAGGAGCCCCATGTGGAGCTGGATCCCAGAACCCTGGGATCATGACCTGAGCCAAAGGCAGATGTTTAACCAACAAAGCCATGTAGGCTCCCCTACGCGGTGTCTTCTAAGCCTCTCCCATCTTGCTTGGGGGAGAGCTGGTATATTAGGGCATGCTCTCCAGCTTTTCAGACGTGGATTAGAATGCCATAGTTCATTACTATGAACTAGTTTTGTGACCCTTTACCTCTCTAAGTTTTGCATTCCTTGCCTATAAAATGGAGCTATAAATGCTGCCTAACTTGTAGGGTTGCTATGAGCATTAAAGAAAGGAGCATGAATTAGGCCCCAAGCATATTCCTAAACCCATTAAGAACCAGCCAGCCCCCCGCCCCACTTGGCCCCCTACCGAACAACACCCACAGCCAACGTTAGCAATGTGTCATAGTATTCGTGGGCACTGCACACCCTTCCAGAGTTGCTGAGGTGTCCCTGGGGGAAATCCACAGACCTGGAACAGACCCGGTGATAGGGTGCAGGACAGCTCAGAGACCTGAGTCCCCAGGGAGGTCCTTGCCCAGGGCTTGGGAGCTGAGCATGAGGGAGCAGGCACCAGTGAGCCTGGCTGCTCTGGGATCTCCCGGAGGCCCGGGATTCCCCTCCGTCTCCTGCTGCTTCACCCCGTGCCTAAGTGGGACTTAGTGGGAGGGGGGGCACCTCAGATGGTATTCTTGAGTGTTTCACGGCAGCAGCCAGAGCTAGGTTAGGGGGTCATGGGTGCCCTCCATGTAGGGCAGAGCTTTGGACCGTAGCCAGGAGTGACCACCCTGAGGGACTCCTCCCTTCCTGTTCTCTCCCTCCAGTCTGTTGTCTACTGCCATGGGGGGCGCGTCGGCTTCTTCCAGGGAGACATCCGTCTCCTCCCAGATGACATGAAGGCTCTGCACCCCACCATCTTCCCTGTGGTCCCTCGATTGCTGAACCGGATGTATGACAAGGTGAGCCCCATAGGGAGTCTCTGACCAGGCTGAGGTGCTGTGTATCTGCTGTCCGGACAAGGTCTGGAACCCCAGGCGGGCTTACCATGCCTCCTCTCCCAGGTCCTAGAAGTTGCCTCCTCTCTTGTATTCCTTCGCCCTCACCTTCCTTCTCCTGTTTTCTTTCAATTCTCTAAAACCCTGTTTAAGGAGATTTTCTCTTCAGGAATTTCTATCCCTACAACGTGACCAGACGCTGGTTAACCTTTAGCTGGGTATCACACATCCACTGATCTCCTGCAGAGGCAAAAATGGAGTGTGACTTCTCTGTTGGTCAGGCTGTGGGAACAAAGGCCTTCTTCCGGCGGGGGGCGGGGGGGCGTCTGTTAGAGGTAGTACACACAGGCCCAACAGCTGTCTTCCAACTTCTGTTCCTCAGATCTTCAGCCAGGCAGACACACCATTAAAGCGCTGGCTCTTGGAGTTTGCAGCAAAGCGTAAACAGGCTGAGGTCCGGAGTGGAATCATCAGGAATGATAGTATCTGGGATGAACTCTTTTTTAATAAGATTCAGGTAAGAAAATGAACAAGTGGCACCCAAGTGGCCTTATAGAAGAATTTGAGAAGCTCATTCCAGTGGCCTGGAATCTTATAAAATAACTCATTTGCTCATGAAATCAAAGCTTAAGCTACCATAGAATAATTAAAGGACTCATTTTTATTATCTGGATGTGTGTGGTATTTGCCAAAAGGCAACCAGCAAGAAGGACTCCTGGAAAGTAGGTCCCTTGGTCTCCACAGACATTAGGGTAACTTTGCCCTTGGGTAGTCAGGTCCATCAGGAGCTCCTGTGGCCTAAAGTTTCTCTTGCCCCTCCCTGTAGCCTTGGCCGTGCTGGCTTTCCAGCAGCACTAGGTTCTAGCCACGAGGCCAAGAAGCTTCCTTTCCCTTCTTATTTCCTATCCCTTCAACCTCTCCCAGACTGGGCCGATCATGAATTACTCACTTGTGTATCCCCACATAAGTTTTCAGGCTCTGCATTACCCAAGGAACGTGTAGCTAATTAGTAGCATTACTCATTTTTTTCTTACTACTCTATTTTTAGCTAAGACAATTAATATTTAAACTCTCTTGGCTCAACTTACAGAAAGAAAGTGCTTAAAGAATCCATTGTCCTCCGCTGTGCATAGTAAATAGAGCAGAGCATGGTATTGATTTATAAATGAGAAAAGGCTATGCCATTATGATGGAAGTGGGAAAAAATTGTCCTAAGTAATTGTTTTGGCTGCTTGCAAATGATGGGAGAGTGAGGGAAAAGCTGTGTATTTGAAGGAAGGAAGAGCCAAAATTATAGAATAGCACAGATTAATGGCACTTACCTCTAAAGACACAGAGGAGTTGGCCATACTGTGGGTCGAGTTGCAAAGCTGATTGGGTTGATTTCGTTTGAAAGGAGAAGCGACTTCTTCAGCCTCAGGCCTTCTCTTTCATCCCTTCCCTAGGGCCGGGTGGGGGTCCAACTGTTGAATGCCGACCTTGGATGAGGCCCACATGGGCTAGACTCCATCTCCAGCAGCACAAACTTCGGCAGTTTCCTTTCTCTTCCCACAGGCCAGTCTTGGTGGGTGTGTGCGGATGATTGTCACTGGAGCGGCCCCCGCATCACCGACAGTGCTGGGATTCCTCCGGGCGGCTCTGGGGTGCCAGGTATAGCCTTTCCACGACTTTCCCTAGGGACAATGGGACATGTGGTCGGGGCAGAGCAGGAAACCCACTACACCCTCTCCTGAAGAGAGAAAGATCCTGGGGGCAGGACTTTAGTGGGACAAAAGCTCCCTCCTCTGAGGATGAAAAAGGCTCAGAGTCAGTGAAAGCCAAGATGATCTTGTGACATTCTGCAAAGTCCAGGTGTACCCACTTTGGGAAGAGGGGTCAGTTAAACTCTGTATGGGTCATTGTTGTGCTAGAGAACCCATACCACATCTGTGCCAGCATCTCTGCATTCTCCGTCCTGCAAAATATCTCCCCATCTGGAAAAGGAGCACTAGAGAGGGGGATGAGAGCCCATTGGTGTTTTGTTAGTTGATTCAATAGGTTTTGTCATCCCCTAAAATACTCATTCCTTCATTTATCTATTCAATTAATATTTATTAAGTTCCTATATATGCAGGGCTGTGACTCATGTTTTTTATGTAAAGTAGGTGCATCTGTTTCATAAAAGTACATGCTTAAGTTTTTATACTTTAGAAGCCAGTGCTCCCTTCACTGTCCTATTCTGTACCAACATGGCGTGGCCACTCTTAAAGGCAGGTTGCCTCACATGCTGTATTCCTGCAAACACTTGGGGCTCTGGAGGGGAATATCTTACAGAGTAAAAGTAAAATGTACAGTAGGTTCTAAAATATTTGTCTCTCATACCTATCATCCAAATGAAAAATAGAGTCAGTAGTTGAAAATAGGTCAGAAATCTTTACCCCAAACCACATAACTTTATCTCCTAAGTGTCAGTAGTAAAAATAGCACTACTTCCAAGCCAAGGAGTCACACCTGTTGTGTGTGTTCAGTTTCACCTGGAGTAACCTACCTCCCTTCTCATTGTCCCCAGCATGGAACAACCAGATGCTCAGTGGGAGGTTAGCTGGCTGAAAAAGGCAGCCAGTCATCTGTAGGAACATGTATACTTACAGCATGGTTTCCTTTTTCATTTGAAGGTTTATGAAGGTTACGGCCAAACTGAGTGTACGGCCGGATGTACCTTCACCACGCCCGGGGACTGGACCTCAGGTAGGATGGGCTGGAGATGTGGGAATGATTCATGGGGCACTGCTGATCTAAAACTTCTTTATGGAAAGCAAATTTACAGGGGCACTTAGGGAAAAAGTAACAGAAAAATAAGAAAAACACTGATGGTGGTTATGTCTGGGTTGTGGCACAATGGATATTGTTCTCTTTGCTACATATTTTTGTGATTTCCAAATATATTTTGTATTTTCCCATTTCTTTTATAGATAACTAAAAGTCATATATTAAAAAAAGAAGAAGAAGCAGTAGATCACAGAATATAGATATAGTTCCAAGGGGAAAAACGCTTTTAATATCAGTAAATGTCGGTATGTTAGGTTTTATAGGTTAGAACCTACTTTAGAATGAAGGAAGCAGGCTGTGAATTGGATATGATTTAGGAAAGAAAGGCAAGTTCATAGTGAGCACTATTTCTTAAACCATTTCTGAGACCCTTTGGGACCTGGGGTCTCCTATTATGTTAATGTCTAGAAGGCAACAGCATCATCAGGAAGGAGCAGCTCCTTTCCACGCCCTCATTCTGAAGAGACTCATCTTCCAAGGCAAGGAGGAAGGTGTAGGTAGCCCATGTGTTTCCTATCACCAAATTTAGACCAGACACTAGAAGAATCTAAAAAACACTGAGCAAAAGAATCCTTCAGTATACCAACTTCCTCTGTGAGCCTGGGGCCACTCTTCAAGCTCAAGTTTACTCAACTACACACTAGAAAGTTCCAGGTGATGCACATGGAAAAGAAGTATGCACAGCAATGCGATGCTGTTTTCAGAACACCTTGAGGCAGTCAGCAGAAACATAATAGGTGGATTCCATATTGGAATCATATTTGACCACGTCAAGGACAGAAGCATTTTTGTTTGAGTTTTATCTCTTCAGACTCTAGCTGAATAAAGCCTATCCTGTGTATAGATTCATTGCTCTCTCTATCCCTGGAAAATTTACTACAAGGACTGTCTTCCAAAGCCCTGGATCAGTAACATTTTTCTTATGGCTGCCATCATATTTACTGATCACTCACACAGATCCCCTTCTTTCTGGACACTCTCTTCCCTCTTAATATCATCCTCTACATTTTCCTATGTAAGATTTTTGAGATTTTGCCTTTTTAAGTCATCCTTACCACAAAAACTTGCCAAGCCTGTTGAGTATGAGAGGATAGATATCTTTGTCCAATATTGTAAAAGTCGGCAGCCTCTTATTTAAAAGAGAAATGGGAGTGTCACAACCTCAGTTTTCATCTACGGGTCTCACTGTTCTTTCAGGACCTTGGCCAGCACCTGCTCAAAAACCCTCCACCCCTTGCCAGTGAATTGTGCTAACAACCATAATTACTAGAAAAATGACTTAGATGTAATTGTGCAGTTGGGGTATATATGAGCAAGAACATTTGAAGTCTTATTTTTCAGGGACGAGTTATCTCATCCTTGTCTTCTATTCCTTTGTTACTCTAAGTGTGTAGTATGTTGGACTAGAAGCATCAGCATCCCCTGGGTGTCTGTAAGACATGGAGACTCTCAGGGCTCATCAGAATCTAAATTTTGAAAAGATTTCTAGATGGTTACTATGCACAGTAGCCAACAGTCTGGTGACTGATGGAAAAGTAATGACGATGGTATTTTATGATCCAAAACCAAGGGTCTGACAATGGGGGAAAATGTTTAACATAGGCCCTATTGGAAAAATCCTGATGGTATGCTTGGTGTGGGTAGGAACCGCCCCTACAGACCCTGTGCAGGTTGGTACTGGGCCAGGTGTGTCTCTTTAGCTTTTGTAAGAATCAAATGTAAAACAAAGACCCAGCAGAGGTTGGCCTGTCTTTTCCCCAGAACTTTTTTTAATCATCAGTGCTTGCCTGTGGCAAATGCCCATCTAAAGGTATATTGCTCTCCTTCCATAATCCCCCACTTTGACAGCGGAGGGATTTTTACATGGCCCAGAGCACCTTCAGTGCTGAAACTGATCTAGACACTGACAAATGCCATATTGCTTTGGTGTTCTAGGGCATGTAGGGGCACCTCTGCCCTGCAATCATATCAAGCTCATCGATGTCGAGGAACTGAACTATTGGACCTGCAAAGGAGAGGGAGAGGTAAATTTAGGACCTTAGCTATTTATGTCTCTGGATGCCACATAGAGTGAGTAAAAGAAATAAAAAATGGAATTGTTTTCCTTTCACCCTCCCTGTAAAGTCACTTTAAATTACCGATTAACTTGACTCCATTGAATTCAGCATTTCTTCTCCTGCTTACGAAGCAACCAGCCTCCAAGGATGGGACTGGGCTGGTCTATTCCTTTGTTACTCTAAGTGTATAGTATGTGGACTAGAAGCATCAGCATCCCCTGGGTGTCTGTAAGACATGGAGACTCTCAGGGCTCATCAGAATCTAAATTTTGAAAAGATTTCTAGAGGGTTACTATGCACATTAGCCAATAGTCTGGTGACTGATGGAAAGATTTGAAATTTGAAGATTTTCAAGATTTTAAATTCCCAAACTTTTGCGGCACCTGGGTGGCTCAGTCAGTTAAGCAACCAGGTCATGATCTCAGGGTCGTGGGATTGAGCCCCGAATCAGGCTCTGCACTCAGTGGGGAGTCTGCTAGAGATTCTCTCCTCCCTCTCTGTCTCCCCCTCCCCCTGCTCATGCTCTCTCTCTCAAATAAATAAATCTTAAAAAAAAAAAAAAAAGAAATTCGTAAACTTAAAAAAAAAAAATCCATTTTTTCTCTAACTGACGTGGCCTGCTACTAGGTATGTGTCCCAGCAGAAGCAGGACCCTTGCAGCTAGGCCAGAAGAGGGGCATAGAGCTGGCCTGTACTTGCTCACTCCGTGGGAGTCGATGGGCACACTGCCCTGTCATGACGCAGGGGGCTCATGCATCTCTGGTGGAATCAGCCAGCCATCAATACCTGAGGAGACCCCATCCAGTGTCACAAAGCAGGAGCCTGGGGGTGCGGTGAGGTGGGGGGCCAGGGCAGGGAGGAAACATGGCCAGGGCAGAAGATGCTCGTTGAGAGAAGCAGGAGACTGTTCAGTCCGCTGGTGGCCCTTCCTGTGCTCTGTCTCCATCCCTGCTGTTTCCACAGCGTATTTCTGGAGGGATAGGATGCCTTCTCCTACACACGCCTTGTGACAGCCCCGCATCGGGATTCCTCATGCTGTGGGCTGACAGAAACCCCGTGTTTGTCCCTACAGATATGCGTGAGAGGACCAAATGTGTTCAAAGGTTACTTGAAAGATCCAAGCAGAACAAAGGAAGCCCTGGACAGTGACGGCTGGCTTCACACTGGGGACATTGGGAAGTGGCTGCCGGTGCGTAGGTTTGCAGCTGCGGCCCCTCCCCGCATTCTCGCGGTGGGAGGGTGTATAACCTGACTCATTTCTGAGGCAGAATTCTTCTCCACATCTTCCCTGATAATTAGCCATTCAGGAACAACTGCGAGGCGGGTGGGGATAGGGAGGTTCTCCCTTATCTTGCCCCCAGAGCTTTCTTGTCCATCCTCCTGATAAAGGTGATAGAGATCTTTATGGGAGGGCAGAGCTGGAGTTTGAGACCTCTCCTTAATTTATCCCTTTCCCAACAGAGATCTACTGGTGCTGTGGGGTCTGATGGGTGGAGTCCAAAGGGCAGGAAGCTCATAGCTCCGGGAGGTCTGAGAAAGGCAGGGCCTAGGGACCCACAGACCCTGGCCCCTCGCTGAGAGGTGGCACTGAGCAGTGGGAGAAGCTTGCAGCCAGGTGGGAGGGTGTCTGAGTTCCTTGGCTCTGCTAGCAGTTGCTGCGACCTTGCCCAAAGCCTCATCCATCTCTGGGGCTCCTGGTTGACTTTCTTGTGGAATAAGAGAGTAAGGCTACATGATACTCTTTGGCTGTGGCCCCCAACTTTTAACCAGACCCAGTTATTGTGCCTCTCTCTGTCATTTGTAAAATGGGGCTAATAACACTGATTACCTCTACGGTGGTTTTGAAGAATAAACTTAATAAAGTTATACCTGTAAAGCAGTTGGCACAATGCCAGGCACACAGGATATGCTTAGATAAAAACTATGACCAGAAAACGGCTTTGTTGCTGGAACCGAGAGCCCCTTGCCTGATGCAGCCCACCCCAGGAACCTCCCCTGTGTCTTTGCGAAGTTGCTAAGGTTTGGGGTGGACGTTCTGAAATGTAGAGTCTTTTTGGGCATGTGAATGATGCTGAGCCTTCCAGTGGTCCTGTGGGCTGGTGCGCAGATTCGCCCCTGCTTGAATCTGTGTCCTTCCTGGAGAAGCCCTCATTCCCGTAGCAGACACAGATGCATCCCTGGTGTGTGCCCTGGGCCAGGGACTCTGCTCAGGGAAGAGATGTCAATGTGATGTGCAATGTGATGGGCATAAGTGGAAGGCCACACTTGCCTGGAGAGAGGCAGAGGATGACAGGCGCCTACTGGAGTCTTAGGAATTGAGTCATGTTCGGAGGGGAGAGGAGAGGGTGGGGAGGATGGTCAGGGCAGGAGCGAGAGCACATGCTAAGTAGAGAGACAGAGAGGTGTGAAGTCAGTGGTTCTCCCTGAGGCCCCCCAGGTGTGGAGGAGAGAGGCTGGGGGAGCAGCAGGGCCTGCAGGCCATCAGAGGGCAGATTGTCCCCTCGGCTAAGGAAGCCTTGGCTCAGAGCCCCTCACTGGCATGGGCCCCCCGCCAAGCCTCTGCACTTCATTTTATATTATTTTTCTTAAAGAGGGAGGGCCTCAAAATTGGAAAAACCTTGAAGTTCCATAGAACCTTGGATCTGGTACTGATTCCCTCTAAGTTGGGTGCAACCACCCACCTTGCAGGCGGTTGGGAGAAGCAAGTAAACTAATTCATGTGGAGACCTAGTGCTGCGCATACACTAAGAGCCCAAGACAGCTGGTAGGTGGTCTGGTGGTGTCCATTTTTTTTAATTATTAATGTTTTGAAAGAGTATTAGGTAGATTAAGGAAAAGGTACAAACTTCTCATCCAGAAAGACCTAACTGAAATCCTGGTTCCCCTGCCTTCTAGCTGTGTGGCTTTGGAGGAAGTAACCAAATTCTCTAACCCTCATTTTCATCATCTGTGAAATGGAAGTGACAATGCCCCGCTCAGGGGGTGCCATGAAGGTCAAAGAAGTCAGTGTAGGGGAAGCGCCTGAGGTCCAGTCTGGGTTTTGAACAAAACAGGGCCTGTTCGTTTTTCTTTTCCGGAGACTTTGCTCCCCTTTGGCCAATCAAACAGATGGAGGAGGGATAGAGTGTATGCAGAAGTCTGGTCAGGAAGTGGTTTTGATGGTGAAGGAGGTGGGTGTGGGAAGGATTTGTGATTGAGGACAATGAGCCTGACGGCCAGAAGTTCCAGGAGAGGCAAACAGCAAGGCCATCTCCAAGTTTGGGGCTTGGGGCTGGAATAGGCATGAGGACAATGATGGGCTTCCTGAGTGGCCTGTTGCATCCTGCAGGGCGAACGGTCTGGTTTCTAAAGCATCCTGAGTGTTAGGTCCTGGGTCTGGAATTCAGTGAAAAGGTTTGGCTGGACGCTTAGGCAGACGTGGGAGTGGCCAATGAAGAAATAAATGGAGCTGATTTCAAGGAACGCTATCAGTGGAGGTGAAGAAAGTACAACATTCAAGGGTTGAGCCAAAGGAAAGAGACACACCAATTCCCCTAAGAAACTCAAAAAGGTCAAAGGGAGTCGAGGTCTGTAGGGGTTCTAGAGGCCAGGAGCACAAGCACTCACTGCCCAAGAGGTAGCCTGCCTGCTGCAGAGGTCCTGGAGGGGTGAGGACTCCTAATCCCATCTGGTCTGTCAGGGAGAAGTCACTGGGGGCCTCTGCCAAGCTCTGCTGTTTGCTGGGGGATGGAGAGGCCATTCTTTGGGAGTGGAGGCCATAGCTGGGCAGAGAGGCCTAAGCATTGTCCAAGGGAGTGAATTTGAGGATGGTGGTGAGAAAAGAGGCAGCCTGGGTGAGAGGGGAAGGTAGGCGAGCCTTCTGAGGAGGAGGACACCTGTTGCTGGGCATGAGGGTGGCAGGTGTGGGAGTGGGGAGTGGGGGGGCGAGGGCGGGGTAAGTGCTGGGAAGAGAGGACAGTGGGCACTCAGGGTCCAGCAGATCTTGAGAGCCATCAACCCGTGGTGCATGGCGGCCCTCTCTGACCACACAGGGGCTGTGTAAGAGCAGAGGCCTCAGGCGGAGGAGCAGATCCAGGTGGGGTGTGTGTTTGGGGGGGGGGATGGGGCAGGGGGGAGGGGCTATGGCACTGACGAGGGAGGGGCTTATGCTCAAGAATGCTATCTTTTCCTGAAGCTTTGTTCAACTCCATAGGCAGGGACTCTTAAAATTATTGATCGGAAGAAGCACATATTTAAACTTGCTCAGGGAGAATATGTTGCACCCGAGAAGATTGAGAACATCTACATCCGGAGTGAGCCTGTGGCACAAATCTATGTCCATGGGGACAGTTTAAAGGTGAGTCTCCTGTGCTTCAGCCCTCCCACGCATACTGGGCCTGCTGAAAAATCTAGGGTTATTGGGGAATAATTTCCTCAGTATTTGGTATTCGATCATAGTGGTAAACATTGATTTCCAATGAGACACCGGTATTCTTCTGTATATGAAATCGTGAGAGAAAATTCCTTTTAAAGGAAAAATCTTACTGGCTTATAGTTTGATAAATTGCAACTAGGTGAAAAAGTTGCTTGAAATAGTGGTAATGAACATTCCCACTACTTTTAACTTATGTTCCATCTACTTCCAAGAGGGATATAGGATTTATGCTCTTTAGATTTTGAAATATGCAAATGAACTCTACAGATAAATGGGTACAATATTGCAAATAATGTTACTGATGATAACATAGCTCTCTCTATATATAACTAATATATTGAGCTAATAATATATATATGTATTGAGCTAATGTATTCAGCTAATGTTAACATAGTTAAGATTCAATTATTGGAGAGGATTTATATTTATTCTGCTTTCAACATCATTTAGACTTGAAGTCGGAAAGATCACTGTGAATATATTCTGTGCTATCATTGCATTCATTAAGCAAATATTATTAAAGAAAATGCTTTAAAAACTTAAAACGGAGCTCTTCATGAATGGGGACCATATTAATAAAACAATTTCAAAATGGTCTAGGAAACCTTGAGAAATATATGTGTTTGAGTTCGTAGAATTGTTTGGCTGGCATCTTAAAGGTGTCCTCCTTTAGGATTGGCATGAGAATCAAACGGTACTGATTCTTAATCTCCTTAAGCTTACACTTTATTAATTTTTTTTACAAAGTTAAGGAACTATATCAGAAAATAAACAGTTAAGAATGTGTGCTATATTGGTGGGAATGTTTCGTAACATAAGCATATACTTATTTTTAGAAAAGGATGGGATCAGAATACCAGGAGGTTATTTTTAATGCTGGACCACAAATAACCACTTTAAAAGCTTTTGTCTTGACTGCGTTTTCCTTTGGTTGGGATTGCAGGCCTTTTTGGTGGGTGTTGTCGTGCCTGACCCTGAAGTCATGCCCTCTTGGGCCCAGAAGAGAGGAATTGAAGGGTCATATGAAGAGCTCTGTGCAAATAAGGTCTGTACCTTGGTTGCTGGACCTCCTGATGCTACTGGGTAATGGGAGGGCAGAAACCCAGTAAAGCAGTGGAATTTGAACATGCAGGGACATTTCTAACTTTATTTTATAAGTGGTAGAAATCCTAAACCAGAGGTTCATCTTTTTGTTATTGTTGTTGAAGGAATGCAGATTTCTTCTTAGAAAGTTTGATTAACTATTGAACTGTTGGTGGGAGACGTCACAGAAAGCTCGTCCAGCCCTGCTGTCCTGCAGCTTGCAGTCAAGTCCAGAGAGGGAGGTGGCTGACCCAAGGCCACACAGCTGACACAGCTGGTTAACAGCACTGTCAGGTGTGAGTATAGGCCTTCTGACTTGCTGGCCTTGCTCTTTCCAAACGTGAGGTGGCTTTTGTATATACTGGACTTAGACAGTCATGGAGTTGAGAAAAAAATAACACCTTCCTGCTTAGAGCTTTAGCCACTCAGGCATGTGTAGGGTCCTGTGGAAGAGATCTCTGTGCTCTGGCTCAGCATCACCTCGTCCAGGCACATGGTCCATTTTTCAGCAGCACCCATGGACCTGAGCACTCCCTCTGGGTCCTGGGCTCTTCTGGGGGTGACAGCGTCCCTGGGACTCACCGGGCTGACCAGAGAGCCACTTTAAAAAATGGAGTGGTCCTGGGCGCCTGGGTGGCTCGGTTGGTTAGGCCACTGCCTTCGGCTCAGGTCATGATCCTGGAGTCACTGGATTGAGTCCCGCTCAATAAATAAATAAAATCTTAAAAAAAAAAAAAAGGAGTGGTCCCTTAGCCTGTTCGTGGTCACTCCTTTGTTCATGCCTGGCACTCGCTTGCCTCAGGAGAGGTGGTGAATGTGTGCTGCCTGGGAGTGTCAGCCCCAGGGAGGGGGTGGAGGTGAGGGTGGGGTGGGGGTTGGCCCAACCACCAGTTGTACTTTGCTCAAGACTCACCGTTTCCTCTACCTCCATTTTGAAATGTGTTTTTGCCTTGTCATTTTTCCTCTATGGTCCCATTCAGGAGCTGAAAAAAGCCATTTTGGAAGATATGGTGAGGTTAGGAAAACAGAGTGGACTCCATTCGTTTGAACAGGTAAATATTCCCTTCCCCATACTTGTTACAACCCTTCATGCAGTGCTGAAAATTACACTCACCCAAGGTGACCCTGACCTAGATTCTCCACCCCCCCGCATGCTCTGGCCGTCGGCCGGGCTGTGTGCTAACAGACCCCTGCAGGCTTCCAAGCCGACTCTGCAGCAGCCTGCGTTCTGCGCTAAATAGGTCGTACGTCGAGTGAGACCATGCTTGTTGTCCTTGAAATCACAGACGTTCATAAATTTGAAATATTACCCTAGCTGTCATAGGCAGAGCGTGTGTGCGCATGGTTGGCCTGTCTCCAGGCTGCCTACAGTACTCAAGACCACAGTCCTCTCTTATTTTTATTTTTATGGGGACTGTCTTCTTGGCTACAGCAGGCGAGCTGACTTGCTAGGACATCGGAAAGATCGTGCTCCTCGGGGTCAGTGATCTGTCAGCCCAGAGTGTCTACCACAAAGAGGAGGAAACACAGAATGTGTTGGGAGGTGACACAGCAAGCGGTCCTCTCAGACTCTTATCTTTGCAAGTTCTTACTGTAACTGAGTTCAGAAGCACCCTTGGTCCTACTTACCTACGTCCTTTATATGTCCTCTTCGGTCAAAAATTCAAAAAGAAAAATTCTTCAAGTAGAGACATAGAAATGCTCCGATTTTTAAAGATTTTTCCAGCGTGTCTTTAACATAATCATTTTTAATGAAATTGTGTTTCTCCACTAGCGTTCCCAAATATAGTGTTAGTGTTAGGGATCTGCAGGGTTTTTAAGAATTTTAAATTTTGTGTGTTCATTTTGATGACGTGAAAACATTTTAAAACCAGTTTCAAATGTAAAGCTCTTACAGCAAGTATTTGCGATTGAGAAACCACTTCCACAGAGTCAGACTTTAATTTCTTAAGTTTCAAACTGATGAAATCTAAACATAGTTTCAGAATTGTTTTCTTTTGAAATAGATCTTTCTATTAATCTAGTTTGAGAAACACTACTTTACCCTCATCTGTCAGCATCTACAGCAAAAAAAGGCTTGGATGAATAAAATTTTCATTTAAAAAAATTATAAAATCAGAGGCCTTCAGGCAAGTTATATTTATCTTTCTGAATGAAAGTTCATTTCTGGCATCATTATTTAAATTTCTTTTAGGACTGACTTCATTGTCCTTCCATTAAGAGGAGCTGTGTGAGTGGATCATATGAGGATGTAGAGCAGGGACCACAAATGGGTGGTCCGAGACCCATTTGTTCTGGGCCTGTGTGTTCCTCTGAATGGGGAACTAGGGGCTCTGGGTGCTTTGCTTAAGCAGGTTAGTTCCTGCCACTAGCTTGTGATTCCTGAGGCTGGCACTCCCCCTGCTGGGGTCGGGATGCATTGACCTGCCCCAGGACACGGAGAATCTTAGCATTTAGATGCGACGCAAAAAGATTACGCTGAAAAGCGGACCTTTGGTAAAGTTTCAGGTGTTAACCATTGCTCAAATTAGACCTTTACTGAGAGGAGAGGTAGTCTTGTCTTCCCATGCCCCTTAAGCAGTTTCTGCTCTAATAATCGGCCCTCATCGTGGTAACCTCAAATACAGGGAAGTCATGCAGGCATCCCAAAGGCCTGAGTTTTTATTGCCAAGCGTGTCACCTCTTCATTTTCTCTGTTCTCATTTTCCTCTTTGTTGGTCTGTGCATCCTCCACCACAAGCAGTGTGTGCCCTCAGCTGAGCACAGGAGAGCAAAAACCAGGCCTCATGCCTGAGGAGGGTGTGTTCCCACTCGTGTTCCGAAGATCAATATAAATTATTTAAGTTAATCCACAGTCCATTGTCAGCTTGCCCTTTTCCCTTTTCCTCAAAAATGAGTCATCAGTTAAGGCTTAACACTAATTATTTTGAAAACCACGCAAACACAAATAGATATCCAAGCCTAAGGTTTAAATCATTCACCAAAAGCTTTAGGAGTTCAGGCTCACTGGGCAGGGTTGATCTGAATTAACATTTGAACTAGATAAAAAAATTAATGTGATTTAATTTCCAGAAACAATTTCCTAGAACAAGGCCAATCATTATTAATTTATGGAGATTTTTGGAAGATATATTTTAATGAATAGATAGGAAGCATTTAAAATAACTCTATCAATAATTAAAATGTGTAGGTACCTGGGAAGTTTTTGAGCATACTTAGTTAGCCATGATTTACCCATTTTCTTGGCATTTATATGTCTTATTAGTTTGTATAGACAATACCAAGTGACCTTTGACACTTGATAGATTTTTAAAATTCTGACGTGAATCTCTCACTAAAATATGTTATTGTGTTCCCTGTCATGGAAATGAATACTTACCTAACCAACTGGCCTTTAAATCAGACGTGGAAAAAAAAAAAAAAGAAATGAATTGAGCATTTGTCTAATTACAGTGGGTTTTGTTTTTACTTTATCTCTTCAGTCCTAAATTATTCACTCTGTGTTTATTATCTCTCAGCAATATTATGTGTTTCATTCAGTAATACCATTGAAAACTTAGAATACCATGTTTCTTCAGAATTATGAAAAGTTTTATGCTTTAATGAGTTGGCATAAATTGAAATTTTTTAGGTATTTTAATCCAATACAATATTTAAATGTTACAGTATTTCTAAACTAAAAAAAAAAAACAAAACCCTATGGAATCACTATTCAGTGGCAAGAGTGTAGTTTCAGAAAGGAAGCTAACATTTAGCATTTCCTTACTTAACAAAAATTTTGCTTATTGGGGCACCTGGGTGGCTCAGTCAGTTGAGAGGCCCAGGTTATGATCTCAGGGTCCTGGGATCAAGCCCCGCGCTCAGCAGGAGTCTGGTTGGGGATTCTCTCCCCCTTCCTCTTCCTTTATAAGAAGGAACCCCCGCGTCCCGCTCATGGGTGTGCGCATGCCTGCACACACTCTCTCAAATGAAGGGATAAATCTTAAAAAAAATTTTTTTGCTTATCACAAATTGGAAAGCGAGTCTCACGTTGTGTTAGGCCTAAAGGGAGAATAAAGATTTTCATTCCTTTTTTTTTTTTCCACCCCACAAATCAACAGTTTGGTTTTATTAGAAAATATGAAATTATCGAAAATGAAAATTGGTTTTAACATTGGTTTACTTCTAAAAAAAAAAAAAAAAAACCTCTAAGTTTGGGACCCATAGTTAAGGTCAGTATTAGTTAAAGAACTGGTTTGACCCATTTTTTTTTCCCCCACTTACTGACTGGACTTTTAGTGACTCAGGCGGTTTATATAGGTATTTTCATGGAAGAATTCAAACAGACCCAGAGCTGTAGGTCAGACTGATGAGCTGGGCACCATATACCTTGGCTTCCTGCAAGGCTGTATTTAGTGCCACTCCCTCTCCTCAAGCAGAGACTATTTGGTGGTGAGCCACAGTGAACTGCAGATGCCCCCGTCAGCCTTTAGGCTCACTGTGAAATCTACCTGTTGGTTCAGTCCTTTGTTCCTAAGATCATAACGTTTTCTTCTGTAGTCTGTTGAGCGTCTAAATAGCGTTCCATAGCTCTCCCTATGAAATTCATCTTCCCTGTACTTTATTGTTTGTAACAATAAAGTGCCACCCCTAGATTTTCAAAGGTGCTCACCCCAAGCCTCTGTACTGAACACACACTCTCGTCCCAGTTACACTTTGTGCCCCACAGGCTGGGAGGAGCTCAGATGAGCTGAAACCCAGGCAGCAGATACGATATCATGGCATTTGCTTCTCCTTTTACAATTATATTACTAATTGCATTTACAGAAGAAGGTTGGCGAGGTCATTTGCCCTTACCAAAAGTCTTTATGTGGTACCATTTCTATCAGAAGAGAGCTTTAGGAAAAAAAAAAAGTTAGGGAAATTAGCACTGTCAATTTTCAGCTTTTCATTTTATGACCGTAAACGTGAGTTACTAAGTTAATTCACAGTATCTAAGATTAAGTTTGATTCAGATTGTGTTCATGTTTTCTTTAAGCTAATTAGTTTTGTTGTCAAGTGGTGATTTCCAAACTTCTTTAAGCAGCAGAGCTTAGATGGCATCTTATCTGAAAAGTCGAGCTTGCACCCAACATCGGAGTGGTGCTGCGCTGGTGGGGTTGGGGCTGGAACCAGAGCCTCTCTCCCCCCAACCCCCCAACGCAACCATGTCACTTCATCCCTCCTCCACCCCACCTCCACACACCTCTGCTTCTCCACAACCTCATCCCTTCCCCCCCTATCTACACGTGCCTCCACCACCCCAGCACCCCCAGCAGTGACCCCTGCAGAACCCCTACTTCTCAGTGTGCTGTGTCTGAAAATGTCTCCCTTGGGACCTGTTTCCAGTGACTTTTGGGTCCCCTAGAATAGTTTATGTTTAATAAAAACAAATTAAGAAAAAAAAGCATATTCTAGAGGGTACAAAAAAATGGCAGCCCTATTCCTTACCATAGCCTTGCTTATTTGAATATCAAGAACACTGAAGGAGTTTTCAAGCAAAACATTTTTTACAAGAAACTTAAGTAATTTTGAAAATTTGACAATACCCCTTTTTAGCCAAGAACCTCAGATTTCCATCAATGTATATCAGATATCCAAGTAGAAATCCTTTGTGTGTGAAGTAAAGTTGAGGCAGCTAACTATAATGCGAGCTCTAGTTTTAGCCTAATGTTCCCTCCTCACCTCTCCTCCACACACTCGAATCCTTAAAATGTTGTCCTTTTTATAGCGAAAGTGAACCCTTCATTTGAACAAATGTCTAAGAGACAAAGTGAATCTGATTTATTAATGCTGTGCTCATTTGAAAACTTTCACATTTTTAAATTACAAGCATGGGTTTAAAAATGCCAGGATTCGTTAGAATTTTTCTTTATGGATTTTTAGGAAGTTGGAAGTAGAGCTGTTTTAGGAGTCTTCTTTGTATAATGAGTTTTCGATCTGAATAATGAAGAGTTTTCAGAGCAAAGAGTTCTTTGCTGTCTCAAAAAGCCCACCTCACAGGACACAAGACTGTTAACATCAGAGGTTTTGAAAACAATCACTGACGTACTGAACATTTTGCAACTATTTGCAAACACGGATTTTTTCCCCATTTTTTCTTATTGTGGTAATATACACATAACATAAAATTTATCATCTTAACCATTTTTAAGTGCACAGTCTAGTAGTATTAGATGTATTTGTAATGTTGTGCAGTCATCACCACCATCCATCCCATAACTCTTCTCATCTTGTAAACGTGAAACTCTGTCCCCATTAAACAATAACTCCCAACCACCCCCCCAACCCCAGCCTCTGGCAACCGCCATTTTACTCTCTGTCTCTGTGACTTTGATTACTCTAAGTGCTTCATATCAGTGTAATCATACCGTATTTATCTTTTTGTGACTGGCTTATTTCATTTAGCCTAATGTTCTCAAGTTTCATCCATGTTATAGCACATGTCAGAACTTCCTTCCCTTTTAGAACGAGTAATATTCCACATTTTGCTTATCCATCTGTCAGTGGACATTTGGATTGCTTCCATGTCTTGGCTGCTATGAACAATGCTGCTATGAACATGGATGTACAAGTGTCTTTTCCAGATCTTGCTTTCAGTTCTTTTGGGTATATACCCAGAAGTGCAATTGCTGGGTCATATGGTAGTTCTATTTTTAATTCTTTGAGGAACTGCCACACTGTTTTCCACAGTGACTGCATCATTTTACGTTCCCATCAACAGTGCCCAAGGGTTCAAATTCCTCCACATCCTCACCAATGCTTGTTATTTTCTTTTTTTCTTTTTTGGATAATAGCCATCCTAATGGGTGTGAGGGGGTACATAAATTGATTTTTGAAATAAATCATTTCCTGATTGTGTCCATTGATTTTATGAACGGTTCTTATATGACAGTAGCATCTGACAAAGTGACCTCTCATTCTTGTCCTCCTGGCTCTTGTAACCCACACTCCAGTTCCTTTCTACTCGCCAAGTCGCTCCTCTGTCTCAAGCCCAGGCTGCTGCTCTGTCCTGCATACTGATACCAATATATCCAGTATTAACCACTTGGTTGTCTCGGAAGCATTTCAGACTTTAACACAAATACTTGATCTTCCCTCCTCCGAAGAATCTTCTCACTCCTCCAGTTTTTCTGTTCAAGCAGAAACCTAGAGCTCTTCTTATTATCTCTCTCTCTCTACCACTTACACAAGCAAATTGTAAGTCCTATCCTTTCTATCCCCCAAATCAATTTCTATCTCCAGAGCCAAGTTTTATAGCCCAAGTCACCCTCAGTCTTGTCTCTTGGCTGGTCTTGCAGTTTCCACTTTAACCTCACTTCAGTCCATCCTTAGCACAGTAGTTTTTCCGAAGAGCCATTCTGTCTCTCACTGCTTAAAAGCTGTTCAAAGAATCATGTCCAAACTCCCTGCTTTGGCATATTAATCCTTTATAACTTGGCCCCGGTGTGTCTCTCCAGTCCCATCGCTTTCTTCTCCATCTGTGCCATATGCTCAGCCTACACATGGAATGTCTCAAATGTGCTTTGGCACATGGTACTTCTACCTAGAGCACCCTCCTCTCCTTGGGCCATTTAGGAGCCACTCCTCCTTCCCCTTGCTGTCTTCACTGGGCTACAGCTGACTCATCCTTCAGAGTCAACTCAGGCATCTCTTTTCAATGAACCCTCCCCAAGCCTGGGGTGGGTGCTGTCAGAAATGCATTCAGCTCTAACAGAAAAGCCGCAGTGTCTTAAACACTTGGGTGTGTTTTTGTGTTTTTTCTCACATAAGGATAGGCAGTCCAAGGAAGATACAGGTCCTCAAAGGCCTAGTCTCTACCTGTCTTTCCACTCTCCATTCTTAGTATGTTGGCTTATCACAAGTTGGCCACTACAACTTTGGACATTGTCCATAATCAAGGAAGGAAAAAAGGAGAGTGGGTGGAGATAGATATGTCTGAACCTTTTATTATGAAGGCAAAAACTTTCCCTTCTCACTAGCCAAAAATAGATCTCATGACTGTCCCCTAGCTGCAGGGGTGGCTGGGAAATCAGGCAAGATGATTGTCATGGTTGGCATGGAACATTTTGGCCCCAAACCGAATCCCAGCAGGGAAAAAGTCAGGAGTGGGTATTGGCAAAGCAACGGATTCTGCCTGAGAAAGGTGACCTTCTCTGTGCTTGTCCCTATAGTAGCAATATCATATTGTCACTACAAGGTCATATAGCAGCATCTGTCATTAGATTATAAATCCAGGTGGGCAGGGACTGTGTCTTGTTATTCTTTGTATCCCTAATGCCTGACACATACCTAATACAAAGGAGTTGCTCAATAAATATCAATTACACAGAACAACAGATGAATGGATATGTGTATTTAACATGTATATTTTGAATTAATTTTCTAAACGTCCATGACAGTTGACCATTGAACAACACAAGTTTGAAATGGAGGAGTCCACTTAGACATGACTTTTTTTTTCTTCCAATAAATATAGTATAGTACTGTAAATGTATTTTCTCTTCCTTATGATGTTCTTTTTTTCTTTATGATTTTCTTTCTAACATTTTCTTTTCTCTAGCTTACTTTATTGTAAGAATACGGTATATAATATGTATAACATGCAAAATATGTGTTGATTATCAACTATTTATGTTATTGGTAAAGCTTCCAGTTAATAGCAGGCTATTAGTAGTTAAGTTCAGGGAGAGTCAAAAGTTACACACGAATTTTTTTTTTAAAGATTTTATTTATTTATTTGACAGAGAGAGACACAGCGAGAGAGGGGACACAAGCAGGGGGAGTGGGAGAGGGGCAGGCTTCCCGCAGAGCGGGGAGCCCAATGCAGGGCTCGATCCCAGCACCCTGGGAACATGACCTGAGCCGAAGGCAGACGCTTAACGACTGAGCCACCCAGGCACCCCTACACACAAATTTTCAATTGCTCCCCTAACCCCGTTGTTGTTCAAGGGTCAACTGTACATACCTAGGGAGTAGTTAGGATTTGGTGCACTTCTTACTGGTGCTACCCGGGCTTTTCTGCCAGAAGATTCTGAGAAAGGGTTTGTTGTTTCAGTTTCAAAATTGCATTTTGGACTTTGAATAATATGCATGTAAGGACAAATGACACGAATGTTTAGCAAATGGTATTTGTAGTCACATTGTGTCTCTGTGCCTCAGGTCCATGAGAGTTTTATTTTTCAGAAGTGTAATAAAAAATTGTTATTAAAAAGTCTCTTGCAGCAATTCATAACCCTGTTGGCTATTTAATGATTTGGGTCTATTATCTCAATAAAATCATTTAATTTAGACCCAGCTGTCAGTCAGGACACAATCTCTCGGAAGCAGTATCACTGAAAGATTAAACTCAAACCCAGGTCATGAACTTCTCATGGGATCGTCAGTGACCCTTTCAGATGGAGCCCCACGTGGGAGGAATCTGCCCAGGCCCTCCTAGTTAATTCAGCTACCTCTGGTTCTCATTTCCGCATTTTGTAGAGGTACTTTGCATGAGGGGGCCTAGGATCTGCCTCATAGAAACAGGAAGTGTGCAACCGTACTCCTGATCCCGCCATGCCTCCTCCCAGTAGATGTGATAGAAGCCACGGTAGGACTTTTTTTTTTTTTTTAATGTAGACTTATCACGTCCCCCCAAGACTTTATATTCCTCCTATGAATTGCAACACCATCCATGTGTCCATTCCAAATCAGAAACCGGGAGTCCTGGAGGCTGCCTCCCTCTTTACTACTGAATGGTTCTTAGAACTGCTTACTTGTATCTGTCTCTGCCACTGCTCTAAGTGTAGGTAGGTCCTTATCTCGTCTCCCATGGATTGGCCAGATCCTTCCGATTGGTTTCCCTGTTTCTTATCTTAATGTTCTCAAAAAAAGTTTTCACATTTCTCTTGGACAGATCTTTCTAAAATGTGTATTCAGCCATGTCACTGTCCTGAATAAGAACTTTCACAGCCTTCCTACTGACCTCAGCCTGAAGTTGGAGCTCCTCTATCAATGGTCACATCGACCACTTTGGCTCCATCCCTTACCCCATTTCCCTCCTACTTCATGTAACTACAACCAGATTCCCCTTGGATTTCCTTTCTCACTCCCATAGCTTTGTTCTTGGGGTTGCCTCTGCCTAGAATGCCCTCCACCACCCACCTCTCCTCCTTTGCTGGTTAACTCTCACTTGTTCTTTAACACTCACCTAATTTGGGAAGGCTTCCCCCTCCCGCTCCTCCTTCTCCCCTACCATACTGCATTCGTCACCTGTCACTCTGTGCGAACCACACTGGCTGACAATCGCTCTATGTCTGCTCTGCTGGATGCCAGTGGGCACCCACTGTGGGCAAGGGCACTCATGATTCTTCTCTGTGTCCTCAGTGCCTGGCACAGAATAAGCAGCCAGTTCATTTCTGTTGATTGGCTAAATGAAGAAATAGGAAGGGGAAAAGGTGGCTTGCAGACATGTTAAATAGGCTGAAATGTTTATTAATATAAATCTGACTTTTAAATGAGCATAGTGTTTCTGTATCAATATGTCTATTCTTATATGCCTGTTTACTTTTATCATGTGTGCTGTAAATGCTATGTTATATTCCTGATAAAGACGTATTCTGCATTTGGTTTTTAGGTTAAAGCCATTCACATCCACTCTGACATGTTCTCAGTTCAGAATGGCTTGCTGACACCAACACTAAAGGCTAAGAGACCTGAGCTGAGAGAGTACTTCAAAAAACAAATAGAAGAGCTTTACTCAATCTCCATGTGAAGTTCAAGGAAAGTTCTTCTCAGTATAATGGACTGTGTAGCAATACTATAGTTACTCTTGAAAGTAATGAATCAGAATGATGCAGCCGAAAATGAATAAGCACGTGACCTTATGATTGAGCCTTTTCCTGTCCCAAGAGGTCTTTAACAATATTTTCTCTATCATCACTGAGTACACTTTATTTTTATTAAAATGATATTGTAACAAGCTGCTAAAAATATCACAGATGGCAATGTAAAAATCAAGACTTTTCTCAAGGACTGTGTACCACTAAAAGTAATATATTCTCAATGTTCACAGAACTCCTATTAAACATAAAGGAAAAATATAACTGATATACTGTACTTAATTATTTGTGGAATAGTAACCAGATACAGCAAATATCTAGGCAATGTGGACTACCTCATTCAATAACTGATTGTCAAAATTACAGTTAAATCAGACTTAAAAATTAAAACTATGTGTACAGAATCATGCTAAAACAAGACATAATGCACATTCTACATAAGTTCAGAGTCTTTATACATGACAATTTTTACTGATGTGAACAAGTTTTCCCACTCATTTTTACTTTTATTCATGAAAAATGCAAGTTCAGATATTCTTGAAACAAGTGTTATATTTATATAACATTTTACAAAGATCTCTCAATACATTTTCTCATTTATTAAACTCATTAAAATATTCAGGAACTATCTAGAAAAAAATGTATAGCGACTTCAAGGATAATATGTGTATATCCATGGACTTCTTACACATGTATTTTAAAAGATGTCTGTGATGAATGGACCTTTGGGGGAGACTTGGGAAAAGAAACCCAGAATTATTTCTCAGGATAGGCAGCGATTAATGTACCTATGTTCCTTGCTGGGTTCTTCAGGCCTTCCATTCTCAATATGTCCATGCCAGGCCTGGGAAACCCAATATGGCTATAATCCTGAATAAGGGGAGGAGGGAATGTTATTTCCAAAGAAAATAGGTTTTCTACAACTTAATTTTGAAGAACCTCTTCAAAATACCCCTAGAAGACTTTTTAAGTCCATCATAGATAAATATCTCATAGGGCATAATTCCATTCATAAAATCTTTACATGCTTCTAAGCTTACCCATGGAAACCTCCTTTCTTGCATTATGTGTTTAGATACTTCTTGCACCTGAGTGCCGACAATCACATATAATTAAAGCCCAGCATGGACAGCAGTTAAGTTCCAAGCTACAGACTGTGCATCTGCAGAAGGAACCGTCCCTAGGCAAGTGTCATCTTCTGTAGAGACAGGACTCTGCAAGCAGACATGGGGGTAGTGCTCATAGTCCCGAAGTTCCTCTCTGCTGGAGCAACTCCAAGCTGTAAATAAATGCTATTGGTTTAAAAAAAAAAATGCATTATCACACAGGCCTACTGGATGAATCTGCATCAGTGATTATACACTTATATTTCAGTCTTGGCAAAAGTGGATCACACCTTCATTTGATGCATTTATCCAATTTTTACATATTCCTTTGGTATATTCTTTCTGCAGACCCTCTACTTATAAATCTGACTTTTAGTATATGTGCTAGTTCAGTGCATATTAACTTTTAAAGGCAGTTCTGAAAAAACAAATTCTAAATATGTCCAAGGCCACATCTATATAGCATTAATTTTTTATATTTAATATGTTTGACTAATTAAAAGAGAAAATCATTACCTGAATTAGATATTCATACTATTTTAAATAAGGCAAGTAGTAGCTTCACATCTGAAGAAAATGAAGCCACTTCCCATTGTCTTTCCACTCAACCAAAATTTCATAGTTGACTTTTGTTTCCAAAAGGATTTTGGACAATGTAACATAAGCAAATAATTTAAAACTTATATTGATTCTATTTATACCTCACTGTAGTTAGATATGATTGATCATGGACAGCTTAAGCGTTTCTTCTTTTTCTCACTTTAAAGATCTTCATGTGTCTTCTGGCCTTCCTGATCTGTGTGAAAAGCATCACACTTGGGCCAATAAATAGGTTACAGCAGGTGTGCTGAGAAAAGTAAACAGTTGGCGCTAAATATACTGTAGGTACATTTATCTATTCCTCTGTTTAAGTCTGCTGAATTTCTTAATAAAGGAGAAATAAAACAATATGCGTTAATAGAAAAATCTCTCTTGCTTCAGATCTCCCAACTTCATTTTGGGGGAAAAATTTTGTATTTCTCTAATGAATATAGAAAAAGGCTATGTACTTAGGGCGTTCACATTTATAGTGGACATCAGATCTGATGTAAATCTAGAGGTATAACAGAGATCAATTACAGAAAACATGTTCCAAAATGTTTGGCCTTTTATCTGTTTTTCATTCAAATGTAAATTAGTAATGTAATTAGTAATATAAATTAGTAATTTTCACATTTTGCAAACTAATCCTGTGTATATTTTAAAATAAGATATACACCATTTTTTTTTCCTTTTGCCATGAAAGATATCTTTATATTGTATTGTAATTCCCCTCCAGGAGAGAGAGAAACTGAGGTGTGGCGTGGAGGCCTAGTTCCACATTTAGGAACTCACAAACTCACAAGTCCAGGAAATAAACATACATGTTTCCCTCATATGTGCAAGTCAACCTTTCATTCTAAGTAAAACTGCTAGCATGAGGAAAAATAGGACTTTCCACTGCAATTTTTATAGTCAGGTAATGTTTCAGCAGCTTGAAGGTAGCGCTTAATTTGGTTGTATTACCCATCAACGAACTGCTCATCTTTTATTTTTTCTGCAGTAAAGAAAATGAATTATTCTTTATTTTCCAAATGTATAAAGCACAAAGGTGATATAGTTATTTCGAATACAAAATACTATGAAATGAATGTAAACAATGGAAAAATGTATTTTTTGCATGAAAACAGACTACTTAACGAACTTGCTTCATATCTCAGGAAAAAAAGAATGAATAATCATATATAAAATTGATAAATTATATGTTGAATTAAGTTGCTATATTTTCTTGCCTGTTTTTATTTTAAGGAAGCATAAACATGAAAAGGAAAACAATCCTGATAGTCTGAATTTTTTCTCAAGTATGCACACAGTCCTTTCTGTGATTCTACAATTAACTGCAGTGAGAATGGGATTAGCATTTAAGCGAGGACAAAGCCCTAAAGGAGGAACTCTTGACTTAGAACAATGAATGGTCCTAACCCAGAGGCAATAGATAAATACCTGGAATACAAGCATTTCTAAACCTTGTCCCAAACTGAAAAGGTTTTATTGAGGTGACAGTGGCTTTTAGACATTCACTTGATTGATTAATTTTCCTTGTTAAGTCATCGCAACAATTGCATGGGGCAGAGGGAAATGGATATTTTTTGAAGAACTGCTTATTCTCCTTTCAATTTTTAAAAATTGAGGAGATTAAAAATTACCTTTTAAATATGCATAAAAGTATCTTAACTGTAATTATATTTTTAGTTGCTTTGTTACAATAGCATGCCTATGAAATATAAAATGCATTTATGAAAACTTTTGTAAAAAAATAAAGATTTTTCATTTCTCAAAGTTGCTTATAATTACTATTTTATATATTTATATAGCATAATCCCCTGATGTTAGCATATTAATAGTCATTGATAATCATAAACATTATATCAAGCTTTGTCACACTAGTCAGCATACTCTGCATTCTCTTTAAGGATCCTCAAACTCCAGAGATTTACAGTCCCCACCCAGAGACTCTCCTTTGCTCTGCATACTTCCTTTTACCAAATGTGTCCTGAATTTAAGTCATTTTTATACTTTTAAAAGAACAAATAACTGTATTCAAATTTTCCATTGTGATGCCCCTTAAACAGTACTTCTATAATGTCTTTTACCCACATACAAGCTAATGGTTACACTTTCTTAAAATGGTATATTCTGCCATTACTCAGTTACGCAGACTGCCTTCTCTATAGATTTGCTATTGTCCACCCCTCTGTTCTCACAGCTGTTAGTACAGTTGGGGCCATTCTCATCTCTTGTCTGGAATATTACCATTCTTTCTTAATTAGTCTTCCTGTTTCCACCCCAGCTTCCTTAAATTTCACCATCCACATTTCAGTCAGTGTGATCTTTCTAAATTGAAAATCTGGTCATGCCACTCTCCTGATTAATATTCCTTCGAAGACTTCCCACAGTTTCCAGGATAAAGTTCTGACTCCCTGGTTCAGCACACAAGGCCTAGCATCTCTTCTCTTGCCCTTCCCCCTTGGAGCCTTGGCTCCAGTCATACCAACGACTTTATGTAGTGTCCTAAAAGCATCATGCTCTTCTGTGCCTCCATGTGCACATATGGTCCCCTTTTCATAGAATGCCATAACCTTTAATCCCCCTGCTAACTTCCACCGTGCAGCTCTTAAAACAGCTCAACTATCCTTTTATCTTAGAAGATTCCCTCTGCCCCACTCCCACTCACACTGTGAGTTGCTTGAGGTTGTAGCCCCAGTGCCGAAGGTCTGGTCCATAGTGGATGCTCAAGAATATCCATTTAGGGGCGCCTGGGTGGCTCAGTTGGCTAAGCATTTGCCTTTGGCTCAGGCCATGATCCCAGGGTCCTGGGATGGAGCCCCACATCGAGCTCCATGCTCAGCTGGGAGTCAGCTTCTCCCTCTCCTCCCTGCTTGTGCTTTCGCTCGCTCTCTTTGTCTCTCTCTGAAATAATTAAATAAATAAAATCTTTTTAAAAAAATCAATATCCATTTAATGAAAAATCTCCTTGGTTCTTTTTTATGCATTCATGCATAATGTTCATATGCATTAAGATTGCAATACCTGCAGATACGTTTCATCTATCACTGTGGTTTTTTTCATTTTTGTCAAGTAAGGAAAAATAAAAACAAACTGATTTTCAGTTGTACCTTGAAACCTATGGATAGAACCATAAACAAAACTGCTCAGTGGGTCAGTCACTCCATAAAAAGGCATACAGAAAGATTTCCTCTGGGATCTGGGGAATCCTAAAGCCACAAACAGGCTTTGAAAATATTAAAAAAAAAAAAAATTTCCTCCGAAATCTCTTCAAAATTTGGAATTTGTTTTCCCATGGAAGTTTGCAACTCCATAACTGCTCCAAACCTAGTCAAACCCATCACATGGCTGAACTGAAACAGTGATAGCAGAATTCTGAGTTTAGATATGGAAGGAGTGCAAAGGGAGATGGGAGAAGTTCAGTTTAACACTCATGGATGAATGCTTGCACTGGCATTTGTGTATTTGGGGACAGAATGGGGGGAGACAGATAACTGAATTGAGATGTGTCTGCCCTACCTCATCCTTTTGTATGGGACACATCTCCTTCCCTTTTATAGCCTGGTTCTGGGTGAAGCTTTAAACAGACCAAGTCTGTTTGTAGTCTCTTTCATCCCCTTGCTACCAAGGGCTTCGAACTCCTTTCCTTCCTCCCCCACCCCCTGCCCAACCATGTGTTAGGAGGAACGGTCCTAACCTAAATGGTCATGACAAACACACTAGCCAAATGTCAGCTGACTCCTGCCACCTATGCCTATCATCTGTCATAATGAACGTCCCTAGGCTGCAGTTTCCTCAGCTGCAGAATGAGGAGGCAACTGGACTATCTCCAAGGACCTCTTTTGGCTCAAGAAATCATTCCAAAGTTTTTCCAGTTTTGAAACCCTATGTATTAACTCCCATAAATCTTTACTTGATGGCATTTCAGTAAACGCAGACCAGTAGAGTGAGACAGACCTCTATAGGGCCACCAAAGTACAGATCAGCTTTTGCTTTACGCTGCTTTCCTTTTTCATTGTTTCTTCCATTTCTAGGTGTAGGGCATGGAAGGACCCAGACCTCCCACAGGTCATTTAAGAACTCCAAGTTTTTTTCACAACAGCCCCCAAAGGGAGAGAGGAGAGCCTGGAGACCTGACTTGTAAACTAGAGACTGCCTGTCAGCATATTATGGATATAACTAAAGAAAGGAGGTTGAAATATGATCATTGCTTTGTATTGCAACAACACAATGAGATCCCAGACTGAAGAACCATTTCTAACACACCTCTGTATCCCCAGGACCTACCACAATATCTAATACAGACTAAGGTGCTGAGTAAGTATTGATTCAGGGACTCAAAGCACTGTATCTAATTAGGTAAGAATACCCACCTTCTGTTCTTTACAAAGCTAAGTTTTAATGATTACTTATATATATTGAATCAACTGTCATGACTTTCTATGAGGCTATTCTAAATTTAAAAAAATTTAGAGTGATTTCATTATGAAAATATTGTGGCTATATGTATGCTATAGTCACACATACAATATTGGAGCATCACAAGAAAAGTCTTCGAGTTTTTGTAATTTTATCTCTACAAATGCATTTTTTAATGTTGTGAAATGTTTTTTTTAAAAATAGGAAGATGGTTATTATGTGCACAATATGTTTATCAGATGCAGCCAGATGGTTCAACCACAGTGTACGGAGAGAGGGAGGTCATTCCTACATTCCTGCAATGATGCAGATCAAGTGAACTGAGCCCCAAGACGGTAGGAGGTAAGAAATTCTCTACCTTGACCATAAGGCTGCCCAGATGTCCAGGAGATAGCTCCTGGGCAGGGGCGAAGGGATTCCACTATCCTTAAGAAAAAATATCCCGAAACCAAGATCTTCGAATGCTCAGACTCTCAAATACCACGGCCCCGGGACTGAAGCTCATTGCTCAGGAGGATATTCTCTGCTGGTTTAACGTACTTTCGTTCCTGTCTGATCTTCCCGCACTGAGTCAGGTGACGCCCCGCCGCCCCTGTCCCCCTGTCGCCTCCCCTGCTAGATTCCCTATGTTCGGACCCCAAAACTCCATTACCAAGGCTTAAATGCAATGTTATGAGAGGGGCTGAGCCATCAGTAGCGTGCACGTGACGGGCCCATCACACTAAAGAAAAAATGAAAGCAAAGGAGCAACCTCCTGGACAACGAAAAGACTTCTCCCCATTAGCTTCCCTTCAGGTGAGAAACACGTGAGTCTGCGCCACGGGTCAGGCAACCACGCGTGCCCACTGCCAAATACCCGGACGCCACACCTCCAGGAGGGCGGGGGCCTTCTTCAAGGGGGCGGAGCATCTTCCTCGTTATTCCGCTTCCCAGAAGCCATCGCGCAGCTTGGTGGAGATTAAAAAAAAAGGGCGGGAGCGCGCCGGGAGGCTCCAGTCAGTCAGGCGTTGGCGCTGTGGGCCTTTATCTTTTCTTCCCCCGCCTCCTGCCGTTCTGCTCCGCAGGCAGCTACGTTGCCAGGACGCTGGCGCACTCAGACTGTAGCTTGTTTCCTCAGGAAGGCGAAGAGACAGGCTGTGGAGGCCCAAGAGGTCCCCGAGGCCGTGGGGGTGGGGTGGCAATGTGGTCACTACGGGTCTATACCCGCAAGAAGCGGGCCGGCCAGAGGCTCAACCTAACCCCGACGCCGGACCTGGGCCCCACGGCGAAGGCAGAGGCCCCCCCAGGTCCAGGCAGAAGGCACGCTGCGCACTGTAAGGCCCGGCTGGCAAGCCTGTGGAGCAGGCCCAGGGTGGGCGAGCGAAGTTGCGGGGGGGGGTGAGGGGGTGGGGGGGGTGACTAGGCCTCGGCCCAGGGACACCCGAGCGCGGCAAGGCGGCCTCCAGGGCGTTGCCCTGAAATATGCCGTCCTCTCTTAGGCCTGAAAGGAAACGCGCACCGTTTGCAGAAGATCTCAGAGAAAGCAGAGTGCAGTGGGCAGGGAGTTAGCGGCTCTAGGCCACCGAGGTGCGTAAGCCGCCAGTGCCAAGCCCATGCCTTCTGCCCCCTCCAAACTTCAGTCCTCCTCTTTCGCCTATAGCCTCTCCTTCTAAGAGTCAAGGAAGAAAATAAGTGTAATACTATTTACGATTTGGCTCCTGTTGGGACATAGACCCAGAAATTTGACTTAAGAAAGATTTATTTATTTAAAAGATTTATTTATTTGAGAGAGAGGGAGAGAGAGAGCAGACAGAGGGAGAGAGAGAGACTCCCAAGCTGACTCCCTGGGGAGCGCGGAGCCCCAGGGGCTTGATCTAGGACCCATGAGATCACGACCTCAGCCGAAATCTTTAGTGGGAGCTCAAATGACTGAGCCACCCAGGTGCCTCTGGAAATATTTATTTAAAAAAATTTTTTAAAAGAGCAGTTTTGCCAACTTGCCAACTCACTTGCCTAAAAGCAAGTGAGATAAATCCTTCAGGAAAGCATTCGTAGCACCAGCGAATATTGGTACAATTAACCCACTGGAGTCTTTACTTTTTCCTAATGATGTCCCCAAATAGCCTTTAAGATTCTGAACAGTGTGAACTGTGAACGGAGATGTGGAGAGCCAAATCCAGACCATGCAAATTAATTGCTTTGTTTGTTTGTTAGCCCTCGGTTAAGAGTTACAGGACAGGAAAGCCTGCAAGAAAATAGCACTAATGAAGAGACCCCGGATGAGAAGATAGCTCCATTGAGTGTATGTATATTTCTCTTGCGGACCTTGGATATACTTAAAGCAGAGACCGATGGTAACTGATGTGCCTCCAGATTAAAGTGTAATAAGGATTTTGTTCAATAGCTACATAGCTTCCTAGCGTTTTTGTAAACATTGGTGTTTTCTCTTTAGACAGGGTCTGGAATTTCTAATTCTGGTGGATTCATAGTCATATTTTTTTTGTTTTTAATTTCCGTTGACAAAAATTTGAGAAATGCCCGTTACTCACTAATTTTCTATGAAACAAGTATCTGTAAGTTTTTCTTAGTAACTCCCTTACGTATAGTAGCACTTAAACCATTTTAAAGCCATTTTCATTCTCATTTGAATTTCCATTAACTAGAAAGTGTTCATTACCATAGAATATTATATAACTTCTTGACCTACTCTATTTAATATGGATTCTGTACAATATTTTATTTATTTTTTATTTATTTTTTTTAAAAGATTTTATTTATTTGAGAGAGAGAGAATGAAAGACAGCATGAGAGGGGGGAGGGTCAGAGGGAGAAGCAGACCCCCCGCCGAGCAGGGAGCCCGATGTGGGACTCGATCCCAGGACCCTGGGATCATGACCTGAGCCAAAGGCAGTCGCTTAACCAACTGAGCCACCCAGGCGCCCCTCTGTACAATATTTTAAAGATACATAGTAATTTGGAGAAACTCAGATTTTAAAAATTGCTTGTGACTCATCTACCATTAGCATTAAGTAGTCATGTTCCAGAGCTTTAGCTTACATATCTCTCTAAAACATGTGTTTTGGGGGTGGGCAGTTTGAACAAAAGGCATTTTTTAAAAATGCTTTACCCAGATTTTAACAGTGTTATGTGTTCCTTGTAGATGTTTCAGATTATACCAAAAAAAAAAAAAAAAAAGTGTTTAAAAGGTTTCTTCTAATTTTTTTGTATTTCTTTACATTCCTTCTTTCTGTGCCCTTTTTTTCAGTTTAGAGATTGTTATCTTATTGTATATTCCTCTAACATTAAATGGCCTTCAAAAATATGATTTTTAGTGTCTAAATAGTGCTTTGTCTTATAGATAAATATACTGTAATTTATATAACTATTTTCCTGTGGTTGGAGGATTGAGATTGGATCATGTTTAAAGTTTGATTCATGTTGGCCACTTGGCACCATTTTACCTGATACTTTAAAAGTACATATATTTTATTGAACACTACATCTGAAACTAATGATGTACTATATGTTGGCTAATTGAATTTAAATTTAAAAAAAGGAAAAAAATACATATATTTGATAGATGAAAAGTAGCATTTATTTGATACTGCATTTCTCTGAATGCTAGTAAAGTTTATACTTTTTTTTCCTCATTTTATTGGCCATTTGTGTTTCTTTTTTTGTGAAATGCTTATTCATTATATATTGAAGATAGTTACACTTTTATACACACATGTAACAAATATTTTTATTTTTTTTTGTTTGCCTTTAATCATATTCCTGATATTTTAGATTCATCAGTCTTTTCATTTATTTTGCTTTCATATTTAGAGAAAGAAAAGCCCTTCCTACCTAGGGGATCAGAAAAATATTCACCTTTAACTTCTAGTTGCTGGTTTATCCCACAGTAGTTAGTTGACTAGCATGTTGCTGACTCTGTAAATATGTCCACGTTATTATATTTTAATATTTATTTTTAGATTTAATATTAAATACCAGATTACATCTGTGATTAGTAGGCTGAAAGAATCTATTACCTATGAAACTGATACACAAAGTTGATATTAGTTTTTCATTTTCAAAATAACCAAATCAATGTAATGTAATATAATATGAAAATATTCAGTCCCATAATTTGTGCTATATCTTTAATTCTTATTTCCCTTAGGAGTCAGTGACTGATGACCTCCAGGTTGACTGTAGTTCATCCAATAGTGAGCTAGTGTCAGGTAAGATTGTCAGATGTGAACTCCCTCAACTTTGTTTCTTACAGATATAAGCATCCATTTGTATTTTTGCCTCATCTTCCCATCTCAGTGGAAGAGGTGTCTTTCTCCTAGTCCAAGGTGAATCCTTCTGCCTGTACAATGGACGTCATCCTCAAAGCCTTCAAGCACACACCAGTAAATTAAAATTGAGATAAATACTACAAAAGAGATTGACTCGAGTATAACTAATTGAGTTTAATTAGAGAGTTTAGGGAAGGCTTCCATGAGGGAATAGCAATTGAATTGAGATAGGAAGAAAAGGAGAAATTAACTATGCAAGGAGATGAGTTAAGAGCCATCCAGGCAGAGGGAACATCATGTGCAAAAAGACCCTAATATGGCACTAAGCCTCATGAGTTCAGTGAACTGAAAGAAAGCCAGTGTGGCTGTAGTACAGAGAGGAGGGGGAAATGCAATAATAAGACAAGGTTGAACAGAGAGAGGCCTTGCATAACCTTGTAGGCTGTGTCAAAGATTTTGGTGTTTATATTTGGAGGAGCAAGAAGCCACTGAAGTCTTCCTTAGGAAAGTATATGATCACCTTGGCTGTGGTATGGAAATAAGCATGAATGGATGCAAATAGACCAGATGGGAGGTTATTACAGTAGGTTAGGGGGAAATGATGGCACTTTGTACTAAAAGATGACATTGGAAATGGAAGGAAGTGAGCATAACTCATGACAATTTTAGGAAATGAAACTGACAGAGTTTGGCAAATGAAGAACGAAGGAGATGGAGGTATCAAAGATGACGTCTGTTTCTGGCTTGAATAACTGGGTATAAGGTGATGCCATTTACTTCATTTACTTACTTTACAAACAAAAATCTTGTTTGAGGGAAAGATCATAAATTATGTTTTTAATAAGTTATGAGTACTTTTAAAATGATTAAGTAGAATGCCAAATAGGCAGTTGGATATGGAGGGCTGCTGATAGAAATTTATGAGCCGTCTACATATTGGTATAATCAAAGTTATTTTTAAAAATAAGAAAGGATGTCGGGTGCCTGGGTGGCTCAGTCGTTGAGCGTCTGCCTTCGGCTCAGGTCATGATCCCAGGGTCTTGGGATCGAGCCCCACATCGGGCTCCCTGCTCAGTGGGAAGCCTGTTTCTCCTTCTCCCACTCCCCCTGCTTGTGTTCCCTCTCTCTCTGTGTCTCTCTCTGTCAAATAAATAAAAGATTTTATTTATTTGACAGAGATAGAGAGAGAGCACAAGTAGGCAGAGAGGCAGGCAGAGGGAGAGGGAGAAGCAGGCTCCCTGCTGAGCAGGGAGCCCGACGTGGGGCTCGATCCCAGGACCCTGAGATCATGACCTGAGCCAAAGGCAGCCACTTAAATGGACTGAGCCACCCAGGCGCCCCAAATTTGATGAAGTTTAATGATCATTGCTATTATTATTGTAAATCTTAGTGTTATAAGAAATCTTTGCCTACCTCAGTGTCATGATGATTTTCTCCTCGGTTTTTTTTTTTTTTTCTAGAACCTTTGTAGTTTTAGGATTTACATTTATGTCAATGACCTGTTGAGAGTTAATTTTTTATATGATGGAAAGTATGAATGCAGGTTTTTTGTTTTGTTTTGCTTTTGCATATAGATACACAGTTGCTTCAAGATTATTTGTTTAAAACAGTGTCCTTTCTCCACTGAATTGCCTTTGCATCTTGGTAAAAAAATCAGTTGCTCATATAAGTATGAGTCATTTCTGGGCTTTCTGTTGAATTCCTTTGATCTGTTTGTCTATGTTTAAACTTGTTGTTTTTTAAATGGAGTAACTAGAATTACTTTTTCTTCTCAGCTAGTTAGTTTACAATTATGGGTTACTTATATGTAAAACTTGCATTTTGGGGTCAAAAATCACAACTGAACCAAAGGAGGGGAAGAAATAAATTATGAAACTTGGTAAAGCAATGGAAAAAGATTATAATGCTTTCTCTACATCAAAACCAGAATTATTTTCTAAGGTTGAAGTTAAAGTGGTGTACAATAGTATGCCTTTTCAGTTGTTTGTATAAGTAATTTTACATTCTCTGTATACAACTGCATGTATGTTTCTACAAATATGAATTCCTAGGATTTTGAGTCTGTTTACTATTGAAACATTTTACTCTTTTTGTTTGTTTATTTTATAGGACTAAGTGTACAGCATGGTATTTCTAGTTCTCTTCTGAGCTATTCATTCACAGACTCTTACACAGAATACAAGAGTTTTGAAGAGAGTTTAAGTAGTTTCCCATCACCTGAACTCTTCAGAGGATCAGATTATTTAGGTGAGAAAATAATCTCAACCTTTAGCTGACCCATATAGAAATTGTTCATTTGTCCACAAATCCTCTAATGAGTAATGTTCCTTTTGAGGTGTGCTTGTCTTCCTCACCAAAACCTCCTTCCCCTGCCCACTACTGTATTCCATGCTCTATCATCTAGGACTATGCATTAGAAGCTACCAGATAAGAAAAGGTTGAAGATACTAGGGGAATGCCCCAGAAATAAGCCAATTTGATCTATAGTATCCCAAAGAAGCTCACAATTTGGCTGCACCTTTTTACTTGTAAAAAGGTATGTCTGAAATGTGAAAGATGTGATTACTTTTTTTTTTTTAAAGATTTTATTTATTTATTAGAGAGAGAATGAGAGAGAGCAAGCACATGAGAGGGGGGAGGGTCAGAGGGAGAAGCAGACTCCCTGCCGAGCAGGGAGCCCGATGCGGGACTCGATCCAGGGACTCCAGGATCATGACCTGAGCCGAAGGCAGTCGCTAAACCAACTGAGCCACCCAGGCACCCCATGGTGATTACTTTCTTACTCTAATGGAACCTGGAGATTTATTCTTTGGGATGTTCTGAAACAGAGGAACTATGGACTGGAGGATACTAGGCACTGTTAATAGGAAGGATCTATGATATTTTGACATGTTGGTCCCAAATACTCATTCCCCTGTGGTAATATTATATATCCACACCCTTACCATGTCCTCGTAGTGTGTGGAGTGTACTCTCTCCCTCTTTGGCTCTGGAAAAGCATTGGAAATGTGCCTTGCTTTGGGCAATAGGGTATCAGTGAATGAAACATAAGCAGATCTTTGAAATATGCCTAAATGGCTGGACTTGTCGTCTTACACTTTTAACAGTGTGAGAAGAATATATCCTAATTAGCTTCTGCTTCTCCTGTGGGGACCCCAGAATGAGAAGTATAGAACAGAACAGTCTCCGGCAAACCGCAGATTGCAGAGAGCTGCCCCAGCTGATCAGCAGATTTGTAATCTGAAGCAGACCTGCCTGAGCCAACCAGTAGACATAGGAATAAGAAATAAATGTTTTCATTTTATGTCAATGAGATTTGGGTTGATTTATTATATAGAAAAAGCCAACTGTTTCAGATACTGTACTGAATGAAGAGGGGAAATTAAGTGAAGTGTACCTTGTGAATTGTGGTACCTTCTCACCTAATGCTTGTTCCCATCCCAACCCAACATTCCCTTTTTCTGTTCAGCTTCTAGAATACTAGCACCCAGACTTGAACCTTTCGGGCAGGGGAATGGAAGATTCTTTCCTAACAAATCTGAAAACAACCCTAAAGAAAATATCTAATGACACCGACCTCAGTAGCCCTTCAGTGAAACTGACAAGAACACCCTACAATGAAGTTAACTTGTGACAAAACCCAACTAGGCCACAGAAATCCCAGTTAGGCTTTTAGAGCTCTCTCTTAAATATGAGTAGAGAGACAAGGATCACCAGACCTCTGAGGAAAGCTTCTAATATAAAACATAGGGATCAGAACAAAGGAAAATATGGAAGTGACATCAGCAAAATGTTGGAATAAGAAGCCTGGTCCCTCCTTCCCCCGTGGATACACCAATTCAACAGTAATACACGGACTTACTCCTTTCAGAGAAATCTGGAACCTAGTCAAGGAACTCTTACACCCCAGGCATGTATGAGATCAGCCACATCAAAGCCAGTAGGAAAATTCAAGGCACTCTCTCACCATAATCCCTACCCATAGCACATTGCCACACAATTGGCAGGAAACCCCAGGTCCCAGCTTCTCCCTTGGGAGGGAAGAAAAGAACTGAACCATGTGTGAAATGTTGTACATTTTCTGGGAGCTTCCCAAAGGATTGGCTACTCTCATGACTGTTTCAGAGTGCTGCCTAAGGGAATGGCTTCTGTCTCATCTGTCTCAGAGTGCTGATGGGACCTGGTATATTCTAGATGACTGTTGGCCACTACCAACAAATATGGTGTGTGAGGAAAGCTTAAGAGACTCATGGAACACAATCAAACAGAGCAATTTATACTTCATAGGAGTCCCAGAGGGAGAAGAGATGAGGGAGGGAAAGAAAGAAGGGAGGGATAAAGAGAAGGAAGAGGGGGAAAGAGGGAGGCAGGGGGAAGAGGGGAAAGAAAAAGGGGGTAGAGGGAGGGAAAGGGAGAAAGAGAGCATGCCTGAAAGTTTATTTATAGAAATAATGGCTGCAAACTTCCCAAATCTGGGGAAGGAAATGCACATCCAGACCTAGGAGGCCCAGTGAATCTCAGAATAGGCAAATCAAAGAAATCCACACAGGGACTCATAATCAAATTATCAAACATCAAAGACAAAGAATTTTGAAAGCAGCAATAGAAAAGCAACTTGATACGTTCAAGGGAACCTCCATTAGACTATCGATGGATTTCTCAGCAGAAACATTGCTGGCCGAAGGGAGTAGAATCATACAAAGTGATGAAAGAAAAGAAACTGTCAACCAAGAATACTATAACCAGCAACATTATCATTAAAAAAAAAACAATAATGGAGTACTATTCAGCCATAAAAAGAATAAAATCTTGCCACTTGCGAAGACATGGATGGAGCTAGAGAGTATAACGCTAAGTAAAATAAGAGAAAGACAAATACCATATGATTTCACTTGTATGTGGAATTTAAGAAACAGAAGAGCAAAGGGGGAAAAAAGAGAGATAAACCAAGAAACAAACTCTTTTTTTAATAAGATTTTATTTATTTGAGAGAGAGAAATAGTGAGAAATAGAACACGATCAGTGGGGAGACAGAGAAGCAGGCTCCCCGCTGAGCAGGGAGCCCAGTGAGGGCTTGATCGCAGACCCTGGGATCATGACCTGAGCCAAAGGCAGATGCTTAACTGACTGAGCCATCCAGGTGCCCCAGAAACAAACTCTTAACTGTAGAGAACAAACTGATGGTTACCAGAGGGCACATGGGTGTGGAATGGGTGAAATAGGTGATGGGGATTAAGGAGTGCATGTGTCCTGATGAGCACCATGTAATTAAAATAAAAGCTTGGAGAAGAAAAAAAATGAAGAGGTAAGGGGTTTCTTGTATAAAAGGTGAAGGAGTTACTCACCACTAGCCCCACCTTACAAAAAAATGGTAAAGGGAGTTCTTCAAGTTGAAACACAGGACTAAAACAGCAACACAAAAGCATATAAAAACATAAAACTTGCCAATAAGTTTATATACAAGTACAAAATACTTAATACTGTAACAGTGGTATTAAAATCACTTAATTCTAGTATAAAAGTTAAAAGACTAAAGTATTAAAATAACTATAATAAAAATGTTAATGGATACACAATATAAAAAGATGTAAATTATAACATCAGTAACAAAGTGTGTGTGAAGGAAGAAATACAAATACAGTTTTTTGGGAGGTCTGGGTGGCTCAGTTGGTTAAAGTGTCGGCCTTCGTTTCAGGTCATGATTCCAGGGTCCTGGGATCAAGACCTGTGTCAGACTCCATGCTCAGCAGGGAGCCTGCTTCTCCTCCCTCTGCCACTCCCCCTGCTTGTGCTCTCTCACTTTCTCTCTCTCTCAAATACATAAATAAAATCTTTAAAAAATAAAAATTAAAAAAAAATAGTTTTTTTTTTTTAAAGATTTTATTTATGTATTTGAGAGAGAGAATGAGAGACAGAGAGCACGAGAGGGGAGAGGGTCAGAGGGAGAAGCAGACCCCCCGCTAAGCAGGGAGCCTGATGTGGGACTCGATCCCGGGACTCCAGGGTCATGACCTGAGCCGAAGGCAGTTGCTTAACCAACTGAGCCACCAGGCGCCCAAAAATAGAGTTTTTGTATATGATTAAAGTTGCTAGAAACTTAAAATTGTTAAAACTATATTTTATATAAGCACCATGGTAACCACATAGAAAATACCTATAGAAGATACTGAAAAGATTGGGGCACCTGGGTGGCACAGTTGGTTAAGCATCTGACTCCCGGTTTCAGCTTAGGTCACGATCTCTGGGTCCTGAGATCGAGCCCCACATTGGGCTCTGCACTGAGCATGGAGTCTGTTTTCTCTGCCCCTCCTCCCTGTACACATGCTCTCTCTCTCTAAAATAAATAAATAAATCTTTTTAAAAAAGATACACAAAAGAAAAATAGGAATAAAAGCATATCAGTATGAAAAAAATCAATGAAACGAAGATGGCAGCAGAGGAAAAGGGGGCAAAGGAACTCAAAGAAAATAATTAACAAAATAATAATAGTCTTTCCCTATCAGTAATTACTTTAAATGTGAATGGTTTAAATTCCCCAACCAAAAGACAAAGAGTGGCTGAATGGATTAAACTATACTATGCTGTTTACACAAGACTCTTTTTACATTTCAGGACACACATAGTCTAAAAGTGGAGCAATGGGAAAAGATATTCTGTGCAAATGGTAACCAAAACAGAGCAGGAGTGGCTCTACTTAAATCAGCTAAAACAGACTTTAAGTCAAAAACTACCACAAGAGACAAAGACATAATGATGAAAGAGTCAATTAATCTGGAACATACAATGATAAATAGGCACTCAGCATCATAATACTGATAGACCTAAAGGGAGAAATAGGCATCTATATGGTAATGGAGATTTCATTACTCCTACTTTCAATAACGAATAGAACATCTACACAGAAAATCAACACTTTTCGATTTCAAAAAATATTGCAAAACTACAGCAGTTGTAACAATATGGTACTGGCATAAAGATAGACATATAGATGAATACAATGGAGAGCCCAGAAATGAATCCATGCTTATACGGTCACCTGATTTTAGATGAAGAGTGGCAAGAATAAACAATAGGGAAAGAATAGTCTCTTCAATAAATTATGTTGGAAAAACTGGACTTCCACATATGAAGGGATGAAATCAGGCCATTATCTTACATAATATAGAAAAACCAACCCAAAATGCACTAAAGACTTAAACATAAGACCAGAAACTATAAAACTCCTAGAAGAAAACATAGGGGGAAATCTTGATGATATTGGTCTTGACAATAATTTCTTAGGTGTGACACCAAAAGCACAGTCAACAAAAGCTAAAATAGTCGGGTGGGATTCCATAAAACTAAGAAGCTGCACAGCAAAAGAAACAACAGAACAAAAAGGCAACCTTCAAAAAGGAAGAAATGTTTGCAAATCACATATCTGATAAGAGATTGATATCTAAAATCTGTAAGAAACTCCTGCAACTCGGTAGGACCAAAACAACAAATAACCCAATTACCTTATGGGCAAAGGACTTGAATAGACATTTCCCCAAAGGAGACATACAATGGCCAGCAGGGGATGCCTGGGTGGCTCATTCGGTTAAGTGTCTGCCTTTGGCTCAGCTCATGATCCCAGGGTCCTGGAATCAAGTCCTGCGTCGTGCTCCTTGCTCAGTGGGGAGCCTGCTTCTCCCTCTGCCTCCCCCAGCTTGTGCTCTCCCTCCCTCTCTCTGACAAATAAATAAATAAAATCTTAAAAGAAAAAGACTAAAAACAAACAAACAAATGACCAACAGGTATATGAAAAGATGCTCAACATCACAATTTTCAGGGTATGCAAATTAAAATCACAATGAGATCTCACCTTATACTGTTAGGATGATAATGATAATGATTAATAATAATAATAGTAGTAATAGTAGTAAAGCAAGTGTTGATAAGAATGTGGAGAAATTGGAACCCTTGTATAATGTTGGGATTGTAAATGGTGTAGCTGCTATGAGAAACAATGTGGAGGTTCCTCAAAAAATTAAAAATAGAACTACCATATGATCCACCAACCCAAAGTGTATTTATCCAAAGTGTATACGTATGATTGAGTAGTATTCAGCCTTAATAAAGGGAAATTTTGCCATATGCAGGAAGATGGACAAATTTGGAGAATGTGAGGCTAAGTGAAATAAGCCAGTCACAAAAAGATAAATACTGTACCATTCCACTTGGATGAGATATCTAATATAGTCAAATTCATTGTAGAGAGCAGAATGTTGGTTGCCAGGGCCTAGGATGAGATAGATATGGCAAGTTGCTATTCAACAGGTATTAGGTGTCAGTTTTGAAAGATGAACAGGTTCTAGAGATCTCCTATACAACACTGTGCTATATAGTTAACAATACTCTATTGTAAACTTAAAAATTTGAGAGGATGGATTCATGTTGAATGTTCCTACTACAATAAAATTTAAAAAAGTAAGAAAAGGAACCATGCAGAAATAGAAACACAAGGATTAAAAAATGTTGAAAAAATAGTCTTATTGACATAAAATATATAGTGTCCATTAAATAAAAATAGGGTACTATAAAAAACAATATTCTGATAAATGCAATAGCAGTGAAAAACTTGGTAGAAGGATTAGAAGTTAGGGTTGAGGAGAAAAGAGTCAGGAGGAAAACAAAAAAAGGTTGCAATTTAGAGGGAAAAAAATCAGAGGAAGAGTATATGAAATCCAATATCAAAAAAAAAGGAGTTTCAGACAAAGATAATGGAAGAAACAGAGGTAAGAAAATTATCAATGTTATAATTCAAGAGCATTTCCTAGAGCTAAAGAATATGATGTCTTTGTTAAAGGGGCCATAGTGTGCCTAGCACAATAGATGAAAAACACCCAGATAGAGCATTATGCAACTTTCGAACACTAGAGAATGAAATAAAAGGAATGGATTTATAAAATTTGATAGAGTTTGTGATTAAATAGATGAAAAATACAGAGAAAATCAGAAAAGACTTACTGACTTCAGGTAGGAAAAGTGGTTGTCATAGTATACCACAAGAGTAAATAGCATTTTTATAGCAATTGATTATCATAATGTCTACATTGGATATTGATCTAACTACATATGCTAATATAATGATATCAGGACAATGGGAATCGTGGGAAAGGTGGGGACAGGGATGTAAGAGAGAATAACCTCATTCTTCCATAGTGGGAAGTCAATGGAAAGCTTAAAACTGACATCAAGTGATAAGAGTATGTTATTTAGTGATATGATATTTAATGGGACCTAGGTGTAATTTATACATAAAATATTAAGAGGAACCTCCTGGGTATGCTGTCTGTTCCTTAACTCAGTAATCTTTATGGGGCAAAAATCTATGAAAGAAAGTAGGTTAGAGCACTGAAATAGGCAAAAAATTATTATCCTGATACCATCAAGGCTTGTCTTTTTTTTATCTGTCTTACTCAAAATCTTTAATTACCACAGCTTGGTATGGGGACCTAAGCTGGTATGGGGACCTAAATTGGGGCTGGGGGAGGTAACCTACTACTTATGTGCTGTTCAAAGTTATGTGCCATTTCTTCCTGCTGTTTTAGATTGGGAATGTCCCAAGTTGGAAGAACACATGCGATGCAAAAATTCAACTCTTCTGGATACCAGTAAAGCAGTATCAATAGAGAAGCTACCACAGTTTTCAAACCTCTCTGCAATTTTAGGTGAGTTTTCACATTCTTTTTTCTCATGTCACAGGGGAAACCCCTCATCTATGTTGGAAAACAAAGTAATTTTTTTAACGATTTATAAGCTAAATCCATCAATTAGGATTACCTTTGGCTACAAATAATATCTGACTAGTAGTAGCTTACGCACGTATGGGTCTCCTTTTTTATAACTTTTATTTTGAACTAATTTTAGACTTGCATAAAAGATGCAAAAATAATACAGAGAATTCCTATATATCTCTCACCCAGCTTTCCTTAATGCTGTCTTATGTAACATTAGTACAATGATCAGAATCAGAAAATTAACAATAACATAAAACTACTAATGAAACTACAGACTTTATTCACATTTCACCAGTTTTTCCACCAGTCTCTTTTCTTGTGTTTCAGGATCCAGCATTGCATCTGATTGTTATTTCTCCTTTAATCTACTATAGTCTATAACAGTTTTTCAGTCTTTCTTTCTTTGCCTTTCATAGTCTTGATACTTTTGAAGATTACTGATCAGTTGTTTTATAGAACGTCCCTCAATTTGAATTTGTCTAATGTTTTCTCATGATTGGAATGAATTTATTCAATTTTTTAAAGAATGCTGCAGAAATGACGTTACACCCTTTTTAGTACATCGTATGAAGTTCTTGATGTCAGTATATCTTATTACTGGTGATATTAAACTTCGTCATTTGATTAATGTAGTGTCTGTGGTTTTCTGCATGGTTACTAGTTTCCCTTTGTGTTACTAAATATATAGAAAAGATAGTTTGAGACCCTGTAATTCCTATTTCTCCTCAAACTTTCATTCACTGATATTGGTAGTCATCAGAGGAATTTGACTGTGACATTTATTACTCTGGTGTTCGTCTAATGGTGATTTTCTATTTCACACTTTGCTGTTACATTTACTAATTGGAATTCTACTGTAAAAGAACTATCTCTTTTCTGCCACTTATTTATTCAGTTGTTCATATCAGTACAAAGCCATGAATATTTATATTATGTGTTAAGCAAGTCTTAGTAAATTTAAGAAGGTTGAAATCATACCGTGCATCTTTCCTGACCACAACAGTATAAAACTAGAAATGAGTCACAAGAAAAAAACTGGAAAAAAACCCCGAAACACGTGGAGACTAAACAGTATAATACAAAACAACCAATGGGTCAACAAAAAAATCAAAGGGGAAATAAAAAATTACATGGAGACACAAGAAAATGAAAACATAATGGTCTCAAACGTTTAAAACAAGCAGTTCTAAGAGTGAAATATATAGTGATAGAGACCTCAAGAAACCTCAGGAAACAAGAAAAAGCTCAAATAATTATCTAACCTTAAACCTAAAATAACTAGAAAAAGAACAAACAAAGCCCAAGGTGAGTAGAAAGAAGGAAAAAATAAAGTTCAGAGCAGAAATAAATGTTATAGAGACTAAAACAAAAACAAAAAACAATAGAACAGATCAATGAAAGCAGGAGCTGGTTCTTTGAAAAGAAACAAAATTGATACGCCCTTAGCCAGATTCATCAAGAAAAAAAGAGAAATTACCCAAATAAATATAACCAGAAATGAAAGAGAAGTAATAACTGACTTCAGAAATATAAAAGATTATAAGAGAATAATATGAAAAATTATGCCAAAAAATTGGACATCCTAGAAGAAATGGGTGAATTACTAGAGACATACAATCTTCTAAACTGAATCAGGAAGAAATAGAAAATCTTAACAGACCAATTACTGTAACAAATTGAATCAGTACTTAAAAAACTACCAAAAAATGAAAGTCTAGGACCAGATGATTCACAGGTGACTTCTACCCAGCATTTAAAAAAGAGTTAATACTTATTCTTCCCAAACTCTTCCAAAAAATAGGAGAGGAAGAAAATCTTCCAAATTCATTCCACAAGGCCAATATTACCATGATACCAAACTAGACAAATACACACACACACAAAGGAAGGGAAGAAGGAAGGAAAGAAGGAAAAGAATGAAAGAAAAAAAGAAAGAAAGAAAGAAAGAAAGAGAGAAAGAAAGAAAGGAAAGGAAGAAAGAAAGAAAGGAAGAAAAAAGGAAGGAAGGAAGGAAGAAAAAAGGAAGGAAGGAAGAAAAAGAAAAAGAAAGAAAGAAGAAAGAAAGAGAGAAAGGAAGGAAGGAAGGAAAGAAGGAAAAGAAAGAAAGGAAGGAAAGAAGGAAGAAAAGGAAGGAAGAGAAAGAAAGAGAAAGAAAGAAAAGAAAGAAAGAAAAAGAAAGAAAGAAAAGGAAGAGGAAGGAAAGAAAGAAAGAAAGGGAAGGAAGGAAGAAAGAAGAAAGAAAGTAAAAGAAAGAAAGAAAGAAGTTAGTTACAGGTCAAAATCCTGGATGAACATAGTTGCAAAAATCCTCAGTAAAATACTAGCAAACCTCATTAAAAGGATCATTCACTGCTACCAAGTGGGATTTATTCTAGGGATGCAAGGATGGTTCAATATTTGCAAATCAATCAATATGATACACCACATCAACAAAATGAAGAATAAAAATCATATGATTATCTCAGCACATGCAGAAAAAACATTTAACAAAATTTAACATCCATTCATGTTAAACTTCCCACAAAGTGGATTTAAAGGGAACACACTTCAACATAATAAAGGCCATCTATGAAAAAAACCCACAGTTGATATCACATCCAATGGTGAAAAACTGAGAGCTTTTCCTAGATCAGGAACAAGATAAGGATCCTAGCCACAGCAATTGAACAAGAAAAAGAAATAAGAGGCATCCATATCAGTAAGCAAGAAGTTAAACTGTCATTTGCAGATGACATGATACTGTACATAGAAGAGACCCCAAAGACCTTACCAAAAACTATTAGAAGTAATAAATAAGCTCAATAAAGTTTAAGGATACAAAATTAATACCCAGAAATCAGTAACATTTCTATGCACTGATAATAAAGTAGCTGAAAGAGAAATTAAGAAAACAACTCCGTTTATAATCACACAAAAAAGAATAAAATACCTAGGAATAAACTTAACCAAGGAGGTCAAAGACATGTAGTCTGAAGATTATGAAACACTGGTGAAAGAAATTGAAGAGGACACAAATAGGAAGATATTCCATGCTCATGGATTAGAAGAATTAATATTTTTTAAATGTCCATACTTCCAAAAACAACCCAAAGATTCAGTGCAATCCCTATCAAAATACCAATAGCATTTTTCACAGAACTAGAACAAATAATTCTAAAATTTGTGTGGAACCACAAAACACCCAAATAGCCAAAACAATATTAAGAAAGAACAAAGCTGGAGGTGTTGTATTTCCAGATTTCAAGATATGCTACAAAACTGTAGTCAAAATGGTATGGTTCTGGCACAAAAATAGACACATAGATCAATGGAACAGAATAGAGAAAATTAAACAATATGGACAATTAATCTGTGACAGAGGAGGCAAGAATATACAATGGGGAAAAGACTGCCTCTTCAATAAATGATGCTGGAAAAACTGGACAGCTATGTGCAAGAGAATGAAACTGGACAACTTTCTTACATCATACACAAAATAAACTCAAAATGGATTAAAGACCTAAATATAACACCTGAAACCATAAAAATCCTAGGAGAGAATACAGGCAGTACTTTCTTTTGTATCAGCCATAGCAACATTTTTCTAGATATATCTCCTGAGGCATAGGAAACAAAAGCAAAAATAAACTATTGGGACTACATTAAAAAGCTTTTGTACAGTGAAAGGAACCATCAATAAAACAAAAAGGCTACCTAATGAATGGGAGAAGCTATTTGCTTCCATTGGATATATCCAATAAGGGGTTAATATCCAAAATACATAAAGAATTTCTACAACTCAACACCAAAAATCCAAACAATCCAATTTTAAAAATGGGCAGAGTACCTGAATAGACATGTTTCCAAAGAAGACATACAGATGGCCAACAGACAAATGAAAAGATACTCCACATCACTAATCATCAGAGAAATGCAAATCAAAACCACATACCTATCATAATGGCTAAAATGAAAAGACAAGAAAACACAATTGTTGGTGAGGATGTGGAGAAAAAGGAACGCTCGTAAATATGAATCAAAACCCCAATGAGATACCACTTCATACCAGTCAGAATGGCTAAAATTAGTAACTCAGGAAATAACAGATGTTGGTGAGGATTCGGAGAAAGGGGAACCCTCTTACACTGTTGGTGGGAATACAAACTGGTGTAGCCATCTGGAAAACAGTATGGAAGTTCCTCAAAAAGTTAAAAATAGAGCTGCCTTACCACCCAGCAATTGTACTACTAGGTATTTATCCAAAGGATACAGACAGTGATTCAAAGGGGCACATACATCCCATGTTTATAGCAGCAATGTCCACAAAGCCAAACTAAGGAAAGAGCCCAGATGTCCATTGACAGATGAATGGATAAGGAAATGTGGTATATAAATACAATGGAATATTACTCAGCCATCAAAAATAATGAAATCTTGGGGCACTTGGGTGGCTCAGTCGTTAAGCATCTGCCTTCAGCTCAGGTCATGATCCCAGGGCCCTGGGATTGAGCCCCTCATTGGGCTCCCTGCTCAGCGGGAAGCCTGCTTCTCCCACTCCCACTCTTCCTGCTTGTGTTCCCGCTCTCCCTGTCTCTCTCTCTGTCAAATAAATAAATAAAATCTTAAAAAAAAAATGAAATCTTGCTATTTACAATGACATGGGTGAAACTAGAGGGTATTATGCTAAGCAAAATAAGTCAGAGAAAGATAAATACCACATGATTTCACCCATATGTGGAATTTAAGAAAGAAAACCAAAGAACATAGGGGAGGGAAGGAAAAAGAAAGTAAGAGGAAAACAGAGGGGGAGGCAAATCATAAGAGAATTTTAACTACAGGAAACAAACTGAGGGTTGCTGGAGGGTAGGCAGGTGAGAAGATAGGGTAATTGGGTGATGAGACATTAAGGAGGGCACTTGAAGTAATGAACACTAGGTGTTGTATGCAAATGATGAATCACTAAATTCTACCTCTGAAACTAAGAATACAGCATATATTAATTAAATTGAATTTAAATACAAATTTTTAAAAAAGATTTTATTTAAGACAGAACACACAAGCACAAGCACAGGGAAGGGGCAGAGGGAGAAGCAGGCTCACCACTGAGCAGGGAGCCCAACGAGGGACTCATTCCCAGGACCCCGGGATCATGACTGAAGCCCAAGTCAGATGCTTCACCAACTAAGCCACCCAGGTGCCCCTTAAATACAAAATTTTTTAAAAAAAATAACTCTTATCCACTTTTGGTGGGAATGTGAGTTGGTACAGCCACTGTGGAAAACAGTGTGGATGTTCCTCAAAAAATTAAAAATAGAAAGATGATCCAATAATTCCATTAGTGGGTATTTACCCAAAGAAAACAGAAACACTAATTTGAAAAGATACATGCTCCCCTATGTATTGCAATCTTAGATTGCTATGTATTGCAGCATTAGTTGCAATAGCCAAGATATGGAAGCAATCTAAGTGTACATCGATGGACAAACGAATAAGGAAGATATGGTGTACACACACACACACACATACGCGCGCACACAGAGAGAGGAATATTATGCAGCCATAAAAAAGGTTGAAGTCTTGCCTTTTGCAACAACATGAATGGACCTAGCAGGTATTATGTTAAGCAAAATAAGTGAGACTGAGAAAGACAAATTCCATATGATTTCAGGTGTGTGAAATCATAAAAAACAAAGCAGATTAAAAAACAAAAAACGGGCACCTGGCTGGCTCAGTTGGAAGAGTATGTGAGTTGTGATCTCAGAGTTGATCTCAGAGTTGTGAGTTCAAGTACCACGTTGGGTGTAGAGATTACTTAAATAAATAAAACTTAAAAGAATTTAAAAAACAAACAAAAAAACAGAATCAGATCTGTAAATACAGAGAACAAACTAATGGTTCCCAGAGGGAAGGGAATGGGGTGTAGACAAGTGAAGAAGAGTAGGAAACACAGGCTTTCAGTTATGGAATAAATAAGTTAAGGGAATAAAAGTCACAGCATAGGGAATATAGTCAGTGGTATTGTAATAGCTTCCTGTGGTGACAAACGGTAGCTGCACTTGTGGTGAGCATAATATAATGTATAGAGAAGTTAAATCACCATGTTGTACACATAAAACTAATGTACTATGTGTTACCTATACTCAAAAAAATTTTTAAAGAATATTAGCCTTTTGTCTGTGGTATATATTATGAATATTTCTCCCAGTTTGTCAGTTGTCTTTTTGTGTATGTTATTTTTTGTCATGCAAAAAATGTATATTTATATTGGATTTACTTCTCTTCCCAGGCCACAGCTGATGTAGCAGCTCACTGACAGCATTAAGATCTTATAGTCATTGTATCTTTCTGCCACCAAGTCTGTTGGATTGTTTCCGCATAGTTGTAGAATGGTTGCTAAGCCTCTAGGTATCGTGGGAGTTCCAGGGAAAAAGAATGAGAAAAGGCCATATTAGCCATATACATCTTTTTTTATCAGAAGAGCAAAAGCTTTCCAAGAAATTCCCCAGAAAACTTCTATTTAGATCTATTGGCCAGGACTGAGTCATATACCTATTGACTACTGGGGAGGCTTCTTTGATAAAGTTTATATATAAAAACCCCCCCAAAACAAGTATTTCACCCTCCTAGTCTCTATATTGGTATAAAGCAAGGGAAAATGGAAAAAAAGAATGGAGAGGGGGAATGGGAATGGATGTTGTCAGCTCACCTATCAGAGCCTACCAAAAAGCAGGGATAAATAATATCAGTCAAAGAATTAAGCATTGATTATGGGGTCCCTTAAGGGAGACTTGATAGCTGTCTGGTTGGCAGTATTTCTGACAGTTCAAAAACCTTATCTTCTGTGTTATGTTTAGTTTGGCAACTCCTTTGCTGATATAAAGTGCCCAAAGAAGCAGCCTATCTCTTTAGCAAGTGTTTCAGTTAGGCTCTTTGTCCACTGCACGTGACAAAAAAAAGAAAAAAGAAAAAGAAAAAAAATCCTACCTCAAACTTTATTAGGTTAAAAAAGGAAGTTATTACCACATGTACCTGAAAAACCCATCAGTAATGATATGCAAATACAACTTGATCCAGGATTTCAAATGACATCAATAGGAACCAATTCCTTTCCATCTCTCAGCTCATAGTCCCTCTGTGCCAGTTAAACTCTCAGCTAAGCTCCCTTCATATAGGAACTCTTTTTAGGTCCAGGCTTATATACTCACAACCTCTAATCCAGTGAACAAAGTGCTTCTCTTTCCCAATGATTTGAATAAAAGTCCTGGTGTTAGACATTGGCTTAAATTATTTCATATGCCTATCCCTGAATAGTCACTTTGGGCAGGGAGATGCAGGGCTCCTGTTATACTGAGTCACAGGCCATGTCTAGATCATCAGAAGGAAAAGCAAGAGACTACTATCAGCAAAAGCAGAGAGTAGTTCACTGTAGTCTTTTGTATTTTAGGAAACTCCATTTCAGGGAAATGCTTCTCAGTGATTACTAGGCACCATTCACTTCACTTTTACTTAACTGTAAAATTCTAGTTAAATGTAAGCAGAGTTATGCAGCTGATTAGGGTCATAGGTTCTTCAGAAGACTACTCCCATGGTTCTTTATGTTCCTAAGTAATATCATAGTGGATCTGGACAGCAAAATGTTGACTGGTAGGCATTTTCTTGGCTAATCAATCTACTAATATGCATATCTATATATTTGGTACTAGATTAAGAACCTTGAGATCTGAGTTTAAGTTCCAGGTATGCAGCTGTTAGTTTTATAACTTGACCAGTTATTTTTTTCATATATGTAACATGAGAATAGTAAATTGTTAATATTTGCCTCACAGGACTGTTGTAAGAATCAAGAAAGATAAAAGATTGGAAAGGACTTCAAAAATTATAAGTATCCAAATATAGGCTGATAGATTCCTGCATCTCATAAAATTTCCCAACAATTTTGTTTATTTTGGTGTTTTGAAAATATTTCTACCCAATTTAAGTGGCAGACATAAAAACAATATATAAAAATAAAATTATAAAAATAAACTGTACTATTACCATATATTTTATTTTATTTATTTATTTTTTATTTTTTTAGATTTTATTTATTTATTCATGAGAGACAGAGAGAGAGAGGCAGAGGGAGAAGCAGGCTCCCAAGGAGCAGGGAGCCCGATGCAGGACTCGATCCCAGGACCCTGGGATCATGACCTGAGCCGAAGGCAGACGCTTAACGACTGAGCCACCCAGGCGTCCCTATTACCATATATTTTAGAGAGACTATTTCTTTTTACCTAATTTTGGCCTCTGCTCTCTGTTTGAATTATATTTCTAATAGATTGTTTTTTTTCTTTTCCTAGGTATGCCTTCAGAAGACTATCAGAAATGCCATAGAGAAATGTAAGAACTAACATTTTAAAGTTGTGCTTTTGAAAACCCTATGTTCTAGTAGTTATATAGCTGGAATGATTATTAGCCCACAAATTCAGGTGTTCATTTATTCATGGTTGGTTGAGGAATCATTATATGCCAAAAGTATGCTAGTTGCTAGAGATATATTGTAATGAATGAAATTGATTAAAAACAAAATCTTTGCCTTCATCAAGTCCACATTCTAGTTGGAAGAGGTGGACAATAAATAAGTGAGTAAATTTATACTATTCTATGTGGTAATGAAAGCTATAGAAAAAAAGTAAGATGAGGGTGAGAGAGTATTGGAATGGAGGCTCATTATTTTAACTAGTGTTGTCAGAGAAGTTGTAACTGAAATTTGAGCAGAGACCTAAAGAAGGAGACAGAGCTAGATGTGTCACTCACAGGAGAGAAGAGTATTCCAGGTAGAGGGAATAGCTGGAGCAAGGCCTGAGGCAAGAAGGCCTGGGTTCCAGGAGTGGAGTGTGGGAGGAGGAGAAAGGAGAGGAAGTGAAAGAAGAAGCAGAGGCCATATCACATAAGACACTGTAGGTGACTATGAGTGAATTGGAAAGCCTTTGAAAGGTTGAAAGGGTGACATGATACAACTTAGGTTTTTTTTTTTTTTTTAAATATTTTATTTATGTATTTGACAGAGAGAGACACAGCGAGAGAGGGAACACAAGCAGGGGGAGTGGGAGAGGGAGAAGCAGGCTTCCCGCAGAGCAGGGAGCCCGATGCGGGGCTCGATCCCAGGACCCTGGGATCATGACCTGAGCCGAAGGCAGACGCTTAATGACTGAGCCACCCAGGCGCCCCTACAACTTAGGTTTTAAAAGAATCACCCTGGCTACTGTGTTGAGAATAGATTATGAAGAGACAAGGAATTAGGGAGATTATATTTAGGAGACTGTTGTTGTAATCTAAGCAAGAGATACTGGACCAGAGTGGTAAGAGTAAAGGTAGAGAGGTCAGATTTTGCATATATTTTGAAAGCAGAACTAACAGGATGGACTGTTATTTGTTGATGGATTGAATGGTAGAGTATGAAATTGTCAAGACTGACCCCACGGTTTTGGCATGAGCAACTAGAAGGATGGTTTTGCCATTTATTAAAATGGGAGACACTGAGGAAAAACATTGTGGGCAAAGATCAAGAATTTGGTTTGGGGCATGTAAACTGAGGGGTAAGGCATATGTGAGAGAGACAGTATCTAAATTGAAGGAGGTGGTCATAGTCTGGATCATGAATGGCCTTAGGGCTGGGATTTTTATTTTCTCTTGAATGTGTTGGGAGTCTCTGAAAGATTTTCAGTAAGATGTTAAAATATAACAAAACTTTTAAACATTTTAATTTTCAAAGTTTGAAGGAACTTGCAAAAAATTCATACAAGTTTAAAAACAAAGTCAGGAGACACCATAAAGAAAATGAAAAGACAATCCATAGAATGGGATAAAATATTTGCAGATTATATATCTGACAAGGGACTTGTATTCAGAATATATGAAGAATTCTTGGGGCACCTGGGTGGCTCAGCTGGTTAAGCATCTGCCTTTGGCTCAGGTCATGATCTCAGGGTCCTGGGACTGAGCCCCACGTTGGGCTCCCTGATCATCGGGGAGCCTGCTTCTCCCTCTCCTCCCCAGTTGTGCTCTCTCTCTCGCTATCTCTCTCTCTCAAATGAATAAATAAAATCTTTAAAAAAAAAAAAAAGAATTCTTACAACTCACAATAAAAGGAAAAAATAACCCAATTTAAAAATGAACAAAGGATCCGGGGGCGCCTGGGTGGCTCAGTCGTTAAACGCCTGCCTTCGGCTCAGGTCATGATCCCAGCGTTCTGGGATGGAGCCCCGCATCGGGCTCCCCGCTCGGCGGGAAGCCTGCCTCTCCCCCCTCCACTCCCCCTGCCTGTGCTCCTCTCTCACTGTGTCTCTCTCTGTCAAATAAATAAATAAAATCTTAAAAAAAAAAAAATGAACAAAGGATCCAAACAGGCATTTCTCCATGGAAGATATATAAATGGCCAATAAGCACATGAAAAGATGCTCAGTATCATTATCCATTAAGGAAATGCGAGTCAACTTGAATGAGAATCACTTCATACCCACTAGGATGGCTATAATTAAAAATACTGATAATAACTTTTGTGTTGGATATGGAAAAATTGGGACTCTCACACATTGCTGGTGGGAATTTAAAATGGTGAAGGTGCTTTGGAAAATAGTTTGGCAGTACCTCAAAACGTTACATTTGATCCAGCAGTCCTCTCCTAGGTATGCATACCTGAGAAAAATGGAAACACATTTCCACACAAGAACTTGTGCATGAATATTCACAGAAACTTTATTCATAATAGCCTAAAAAGTAGAAACAGTCCAAATGTCTATCTGCTAATGAATGGACAAATAAAATATGGTATAGCCATATGGAATATTATTCAATAATAAAAAATGGAATTCTGATATATACTACAACATGGATGAACCCTGGACATATTCTAAGTGAAAGAAGCCAGTCATATAAAACCACATATTTTATGGTTGCATTTGTGTGAGGTATCCAGAATAGACAAATCTGTATATACAGAAAGCAGATTAGTGATGACTTAAGTCTAGGGGGTTTGGGAAGAAATAGGGACTGCTTCATGGGTACAGGGTTTCTTTTTGAGGTGATGAAAATGTTCTAAAATTAATTGTGATGACAGTTGCACAACACTCTGAATATATTAAAAGCCATTGAATATACACTTTAAATGGGTAAATTGTGTGATATGTGAATTACATCAATAAAACTGTAAAAATAAAGTTAAGACCAAGGAAACCAAGGAAATATAATTTTTAATAGAAAATACAGGTAAGAAATATAATAGACCCAAAATAAATAAGCCATAAGAGTTAAGAATCAGATGATATAATTGAACCACATTTTGGCCCTCAGCTTTTTGAGATACAAGGAAAAGGTCTATAGCTATTTGATAGATTTTGTGTCTGTCAAATAATCATGTACAACTCTTACTGTCTTATAAGTTGATTTTTTTATCAGAATTAAATAGTAGATGGTACAGTGTTATTTTCCTTGGTGGGGATTTATGGTTTAGCTATTCTGTGCTGATGAGCTTGTGGGGGTGAGGATTATTACACTTTTGAGTGTAGATCTCTGTAGAACTTTTACATTACCCAACCAAAATTCTTGCCTGTTATCCCACCTCTTCACAGACATATGCATGATAATATTTCTGTCTTAAAATAATCACTTTTGCAACAAAGAAAAAGGTGGATTAGAAAGAGTGATTAGGGGCGCCTGGGTGGCTCAGATGGTTAAGCGTCTGCCTTCGGCTCAGGTCATGATCTCAGGGTCCTGGGATCGAGTCCCGCATCGGGCTCCCTGCTCTTTGGGAGCCTGCTTCTCCCTCTGCCTCTCTCTCTGTCTCTCATGAATAAATAAATAAAATTTAAAAAAAAAGTGATTAGATTGAAGGAATGTCTTTTGTAGCATTTCAAGTGAGGCATAATAGGACCTGAACTTTATCAGCCAGGACAGCAAAAAGGGAAAACTTCAGAACAATTCAGAAGGGGTAATCAATAATTTTTTTAAAATTTAATTTAATTTAATTATATTATGTTAGTCACCATACAACACATCATTAGTTTTTGATGTGATCCACGATTCATTGTTTTCATGTAACACCCGGTGCTCCATGCAGTACATGCCCTCCTTAATACCTATCACCGGGCTAACCCATCCCCTTACCCCCCTCCCCTCTAAAACCCTGTTTGTTTCTCAGAGTCCATAGTCTCTCATGGTTCGTCTTGCCCTCTGATTTCCCACCCTTCATTTTTCCCTTCCTTCTCCTAATGTCCTCCATGCTATTCCTTGTGTTCCACAAATAGTGAAACCATATAGTAATTGACTTTCTCTCCTTGCCTTATTTCACTTAGCATAATCTCCTCCAGACCCATCCATGTTGATGTAAAAGTTGGGTATTCATCCTTTCTGATGGATGAGTAATATTCCATTGTATATATGGACCATATCTTCTTTATCCATTCATCTGTTGGAAGGTCATCTCGGCTCTTTCCACAGTTTGGCTATTGCGGACATTGCTGCTATGAACATTGGGGTGCATATGGCCCTTCTTTTCACTACATCTTGTCTCTGGGGTAAATACCCAGTAGTGCAATTGCCAGGTCATAGGGTAGCTCTATTAATTTTTTGAGGAACCTCCACACTGTTTCCAAAGTGGCTGTACCAACTTGCATTCCCACCAACAGTGTAAGAGGGTTCCCCTTTCTCCACAACCTCTCCAACATTTGTTGTTTCTTGCCTTGTCAATTTTTGCCATTCTAACTGGTGTAAGATGGTATCTCACTGTGGTTTTGATTTGAATTTCCCTGATGGCTAATGATGATGAACATTTTTTCATGTGTCTGTTAGCCATTTGTATGTTTTCTTTGGAGAAGTGTCTGTTCATGTCTTCTGCCCATTCTTTGGACTTGATTATTTATTTTTTGGGTGTTGAGTTTGAGAGGTTCTTTATAGATCTTGGAAATCAGCGCTTTGTCTGTAGTGTCATTTGCAAATATCTTCTCCCATTCTGTGGGTTGCCTCTTTGTTTTGTTGACTGTTTCCTTTGCTGTGCAGAAGATTTTTATCTTGATGAAGTACCAGAAGTTCATTTTTGCTTTTGTTTCACTAGCCTTTGAAGATGTATCTTGAAAGAAGTTGCTGTGGCCAATGTCAGAGAGGTTTGTTTGCCTATGTTCTCCTCTAGGATTTTGATGGATTCCTGTCTCACATTGAGGTCTTTCATCCATTCTGAGTTTATCTTTGTGTATGGTGTTAGAGAATGGTCGAGTTTCATTCTTCTGTATATAGCTGTCCAATTTTCCCAGCACCATTTATTGAAGAGACTGTCTTTTTTCCATTGCATGTTTTTTCCTGCTTTGTCAAAGATTATTTGACCATAGAGTTGAGGATCCATATCT